AGGCACATTACAGGTTGAACAAGATAAAAAGAGGTTGCCAATGAATCGGCAAGAATGCGTAAGTCTGGTGTGCCCTAGCCGAAGACGTGCCAAGACAATTTCATCCCTTCGTGGGTGAGGGCAGTGGATCCAGTTAGTAATGCAGGGTTTTATTCTCTTGAGCGGAGAGGTAGTGCTGTTCCAGGTGATTTGCCAGTTGTGATAAAGACGCTCCTTGAGGTGTAATTTGACATCGGAACCCGTAGAATGTGGAATCAATGTAGAGGTTGGATGGATGATTGCGAGTTTAGCAGCTGCATCGGCTTGATCGTTACCATCAATATCTTGATGAGATGGAGTCCAGAGGAAATGGATGTTTTTGCCGGTTTGGTGGAGAAGAGCAAGTTGGTAGTGGATTTGTTGTACTAGAACGCAGGTTGGATACATTTGGCCCAGCAATTTTAAGGAGTTCATGGAGTCAGTACAGATGACGATGTTATGATGTGGCGTGTTACGCAAAGAATCATCTTGGACCGCAGCAGAGATGGCAACGAGTTCCGCTGTTAGGATGGAGCTAGTGGCTGGTAGACGATAAAGCTGTTCACCTGATGGAATAGCATAAGCTGCACCAACCCCTTCTGTTGTCTTTGAGCCATTCGTGTAAATGATGAACGAATCAGGAATGTGTGCCAGGATGGCTTGGAAGCGCTCAGCAATTGTGCAGTCGTTATTAGAGGTGACCGAGGAATCACCAAGATGAAGAGTAAATTGGAGGTAGCCGCGAACCCAAGGAGGGAAAATTTGGGGCGGTTTAGGAAAAAACACAGGAAGTGAATAGTTCAGCTCACGAAGGAGCAAGGAAAGACGACGGTAAGCAGGAGAGCATAGGGACGTTTTTTTAGTAAAGATGAGCTGTGAGCGTCGGGAAAAGAGGAGTTTACGGAATGGATGATCTACATCGGCAGCTATTTTTAAACTATAAGATAGCAAAAGGAAGTCACGACGTAATAAGAGCGAAGGTTCGGCAGCGAAACAGTAAAGAGATGTGACAGGGGTCGTGCGAAAAGCTCCTGTTGCTATACGTAGAGCAGAGTTGTGTAAAGAATTTAGGGGAGCCAGCACAGATGATTTAGCAGAGGAATATGCGAGACAGCCGTAGTCTATTTTGGAGCGAATCAAACTTCTGTAGAGCCTCAAAAGCATTTCTGAGTCGCTCCCCCAGTGATGATCAGCTAGAGTCTTGAGAAGTCCTAAGGTTTTGTGACATTCTTGTATAAGCGAACGAGAATGATCTTTCCACGTCAACTTCTGGTCAAAGATCATACCTAGATATTTGATGGTCGCCTGAAATGCGATATTTTGATTATACAGCTTGAGGACAGGTGGAGATGGGGGGCGACGTTTTGAAAAAAGAATGCCTCTCGTTTTCTCCGATGAAAACGTGAAACCAGTAAGCGTTGACCAGTTTTCAACCGTATCGATGGCATTTTGCATGAGGTGGGTCATTGAACTGAGATTTGTACCTTTAATGTACAGAGTGAGATCGTCTGCGTAGAGGAGGGGTTTGACTGGTGATTGAATATCAGAAACTATGTCATTTATTGCTATATTAAAGAGAGTAGTGCTAAGTACCGATCCTTGTGGAGTCCCCGTTTCCAGCGGTCTTTCAGTTGATGTACAACCATTTACGGTGACTCGGAAGCTTCTATTACTTAAAAATTGCTGATAAACATGAACATCTTGCCTTGAATGCCCCAAGTATGCAGTTTTTTGAGAATCGGAAAGCGCCAAGCCGTGTCAAAAGCTTTCTTTAAATCAAAGAAAATGGCGAGCACATACTGACCGTCTGCGAAGGCATCATGAATTTCGGTCTCCAAAGTTAAAAGGTTATCAGCAGTTGAGCGGGAATTGCGGAAACCGCATTGTGTGGGGTGCAGGAGATTTTGACTTTCCAGATACCAGGTTAAACGTTTATTTAGAATTTTTTCAAATAGTTTACACATAGTGCAGGTGAGTGAAATAGGTCTATAAGATGTGGCTTCAGTTTTTGGTTTGCCTGGCTTTGCAATCGGTATTATTAACGCAGTAGACCATATAGCTGGATAAGAGCCCGCAAGATAAAGAGCATTATATGCCTGGAGTAGATACAGTTTTCCAGAAGAAGGAAGTTTTTTAAGCAACAAAAAGGAGATATCATCAGGACCTGGTGCTGAGTTTCGACAGTTGGTAAGGGCAAACTCGAGTTCCTCTAGGGTAATGGGCAGATCTAACGGATTATAGTTTGCTGGGGAAAGGGTAAGTCGCTCTTTTTCTTTTTGTTGCTTTAATTCTAGAAAAGCGGGACTGTAATTTGAGAAAGAAGACGTTTTCTCAAAAGTGTTTGCCAATACCTCTGAGATCTCGGAATCTGTTGTCTGAATCACACCATTATTATTCAATGCAGGGACATAAAGAGACGTTTTATTGCCTTTGAGCTGTTTGATTTTGTTCCAGACTTCGGAGGGAGTTGTGTTGATAGTTATTTTGGAGATATAGTTTCGCCAGGACTCTTTTTTACTTTTTTTGATGAGGTAACGAGCTTTTGCACGAATACGTTTAAACTCAATTAGATTTTCAGACGTGTTGTGGCGTTTAAGACGGGTGAGAGCTTTTTTACAAGCTGAGACGGCTTCTTGGCATTCCTTGTTCCACCAGGGCACAGTCCTGCGGTTGACAACGCTTGTGGTTTTGCCCATAGCAGTCATCGCAGATTCAGTGATTACTTTGATTAAATGTTGAATCATCTCCGTTGGATGAAGCGAAACATCTTCAGAGGAGAGTTTATTATTTATAAGGTTGGCGTAAAGCTCCCAGTCTGCTCGAGAAGTTTTCCATCTAGGTCGCACGCGGCAATGTTGATGCAGGAGAGACATATGCTGTATATGGATCGGAAAATGGTCGCTATTATTCAAATCAGGCAGTACTGTCCATTCTAGCAGATGAACCAAAGTCGGATGACAAAAGGTTAAATCAAGAGTAGAAAAATGGCCGGTTGCTGCATCAAAACGGGTGCTTTGTCCAGTGTTTAAAAGAACCAAGTCGGAGGTATCTAACAGCTGAGCAAGTATGTCGCCTGTTTGATCGGATGTTGGGGATCCCCAAATAGCATGATGTGCGTTGAAATCACCCAACAATATCAATGGTGAAGGAAGCTGCTTCAAAATATTGGAGAACTGATCGGACGTGATAAATTGGCGAGGAGGAAGGTAGATATTGCAGATAGTTATTTGCTGTGGACATTGGATTTGTACAGCTACAACTTCGTATGGAGAGTGAATTTTCAATTCTTGTGAGGGAACAGAGTCATGGACCATTATAGCTACACCTCCTGATGCAATTTTACAATCTGCTCGATTTTTATAGAACAGAGAGTAAGATTTTGGACAGTGAATTTTGTTATTTGAGAAATTAGTTTCTTGCAATGCTATTACGCGTGGACTAAGACTGGAGAGTAAAAGTTGTAGATTGGCGAGACGGGGGTAATACCCGTTTAAATTCCACTGTAAGATGAAGAGGACGGATTAGAAGAAGTCGCTACGTTGTGATTGATCAGTTTCAGTATCTGATTCGGAACTAAGTTTAAGGAGCTTATATAGGCGTTTTCTAATTTTAGTGAACTTGGTTTTCATGGATCTATTTTGTAGATGAGGATATAACAATTTGAGCATATCAATGAATAAATGTATATTAGTCGTGTATTGCTGGGTCAGATGGAGGAGATCGGAAGTATTTGGGACATTTAAGAAAAAATCTCTGAACTGGTCATAAGAAAGGGGGAACTCATTTGGTTTGTCAAAACATATTTTCAACGGCGCCAGATGGTCAGCCAACGCAGCCTCCTGTGGCTCTTGTAGTGATTCAGTTGAAGATGATGCAGTCGTTTTCAACTTTTTGGGTTGTCTTCGGGGGTTTGGTATTACAAATTCGGGGGTTTGCAGTAAGTTATTTTCTGAAGAGATAGAAGGTGGATGAGTTTTTCCAGAGACCTCTTCAGAGGTTAGACTGGCCGGTCGCTTTTTTGTAGCTTCAGTGGGCTTGTTGTCGGGCATTTCTTTATGCTGTTGTAGTACGAGCTGAGATGGTAAGAGCTGAGGGGCTATGTACTCGTTAGGGGTTTCATCTTGGGAAAGAGTTTCGGGATTTAAGCTGTGTTGCTGCATGTTAGTATCAGTAGGTGTTTCCAAGGGATTTGACAGTGACGTGTTTGTATCCCTTACTGAGTCTGATTTACTAGGGCATCTATTTGCCGTATGTCCTGCTTGCTTGCACAGAAAACACGTCATATCATCGAAACTGAAGAATATACGAAACAGTGTGTCGTCGTGTGTAATTACAGTTGATGAGGGTAAAACAAAATGTTCTGACGGTGGAGTAACGAATACTTGTCGACGAAAACTCTCAACATGACTATACGCCTCGTGGTGAATTCCTGCACGCAGGGTGGTTATTGGGGAAACCATTGTTAAGCCAAATTTTTTAATTTCTATTTCTAGTACTTGGTGTGGTATAGAACTACAAACATTGGAGATTAAGAGACGCTTAGCTGGGGTAATCATTTTCCTTAGAGTAAATTCTTTGTCTTGTACTGTAATTTTCTTAACCGAGGTAACTAAGTAATCAACTAAATTTACCAATTTTAAATAGATGCATATTCGGTTATTTGAAATTCTAGAAGCTGAATGTATCTGTTTAGGTCCTACTAGTGATCCAACTGCTACCACATAGTCTGTAATGGGAAAGTCTTCGTGGATATCGATAACAATTGCATGATTTCTGGTATAAAAAGTTGGCGTTGGTTTCCCTTGTGAAGCATGAGCGTAAGTTTTATGAGTCGACGACGTTGACGATGTATTGGGTTCTTGCGACATGTTGGTGTAACTGTCAGTTATAGGGGACGTCATGATCTAGCGTAGCTTGCACTACGCCGAAACGTAGTGCAACTCGATAAGTTTTTGTGTATAAGAAACCCGTTCGCAGAAAATATGTGGGATAACACGTGGAAGCAAAGAAAAGGAAAACGTAAGCAGGATTTAGGTTCCACGGCTTACCTTTTAGCTGAAACTAGTGGGCAACTTGAAATTCTGGGCACTGTTTGAGTTTTCAAAATTAACTGTTTATTGAAACACTACTACAAGTACAAACTCGATCAGCTCGTCGCAGCTCAAACGCTCATTATCAGTTTATCCATATAGAAACCCTTTGATCTCAGTTTTGGTAACTGTCTTAATAAATTATTTGTGTTTCTTCTTATAATTAATATTACAACAAAAGGAAAAAGTTAATTATACGATTCTTATTCGATGCACGGGTCTTTATCAAACTAAATACGAACGCAGTGTTTTTTCTATAAATATTTTAGTGATTATTGTGTCACAGTAAAAAAGCACAAGGGCTGTCAGACATTCGTGGGCCGATAGCGAAGTTGAAGGTATGACTTAACAAAAGAATGTTTACTTTACTTTAGTTTCAGATTTTCAGCTAAATCGGAGAATATTTGAAGAATGAACAAGTTTAAATTAGTCCTATTGTTGCTAAATACTACTACACTAGTACTGAATACTGTAGAATTAATACATATGTGTAGTGTAGGGCAAGAATTACCTGAACTGATTTGTCAAACCCTTGGCCTGAAAAGTTCTGCTGAAAATGTTGGCTTCAAGCTAAAAATGTGTGTTTTTTTATATGGAGCGCCAGATTTGGCTTTTTTGGTTAAATGTTGTACACATTCTGAAATCCACATTTCCACGTTTCCATATTAATTGGAAACAAATTTTTGTGAGTGTAATGTAAGTAGTATGAATGTTAATCTTGTTTTTTCGGTGGTATTTTTGGCACAAAATTTCGAGATTTCCATAATATCTAAGGTCCAGTAGCTTCGTTAGGAAATATTCAAATAAGGCTGATTTTTTTGAAGGTCATTTGTTGTTTTTGTCCAGAAACTGGAGTTTGAACTAATTTTATTCTGTCTATAATATAATGTAGATCAGGTTGTTGTGCAATAATCTGTAAAATAAATAAATAATAATAAATAAATTATACACTTTTGCATTTGTTTATTGAGATGATAAAGACTACTACTATGGCAGTATTTTAAGATATATACTTTAGAATTTTTGATAATTTTGAACTGTAAATAATTAAAAAATAATTAAAATAAATCTCAAGTACATAGATAAATGACATCCTTTACTTATTACCAGTCGATTTAATTAATATTTATAGATTTTTTATACTAACAGTGGGTTTGTCACAATCTACATTTTTTTGTGACGAATTTATTTCATTATTTAAGACGTCGACATTTCTCAACGTCTTTGTAACCCCAGTAAGTTACCGAATTTTGAACAGCTAGACATGGATCTGTTTAACTGGAATCTAATGTTCCAACCGACGATTTTTTCCTTACCAATTGTTGGTTTGTGGCCAAGGCACGATTCATACCAAAGCGATTTATACACGCTGTATGCCGTAATATGCATTTCGTTCTTCATGTACACCAACACATTCCTCCAAACAATAAATATTTTTATAGTTGAAATGGATCTGAAAGCTCTGGCTGCAACTATCTTCGTTGGTGAGCACATCGTTGCAGTTCTGAAAGTTTCAGGCTTGTTGCAGAATTTGAAGGAAATCAAGAACCTCATGAAACAACTTAACAGTGAATCTTTTCAACCGAAAAGCACAAGCCAGTTGAAAATGGTGAAAGAATATTTACGTCTGTGGAGAATATTTTATCTAACTTATCAGTGGGGCGTTTTGGCGTTGGGAATTTTTTGGCTGACTAAGCCAATTTTAGAGAAGTCTTACAAGGATTATGAGTTGCCGTTTTTTGCTTGGTATCCCGTTGATGTTAAGACGTCGCCTTTTTACCAGATTGTTTATTTATATCAGTGTGTTGCGTTGTTTTATATTGCTCTTGCCCATATGCAACTTGATCTGTTGTCGACTGGTTTGATGGTATATATAGGAATCCAGTGTGATATTTTGTGCGACAATGTGACACATGTTACATGCATACCTGATTTGGTGGAGTGTATTATTCATCATAAGAAAATTTTGAGGTAAAATGTTCTTTACCAGTTTACTTGTGTTACAAAAAGCAAATTTAAGATTTTCTAGGGACTTTAATGCTTTCATAGGGAATATAATTTTGGCGCAGTTTGTTAGCAGTGCTGTATCTATAGCTCTTGGTTTGTTTAAACTGGGCCTGGTAAGTATTAAAACGAAACATTTTTCCAATATGTATTAATTAAAAATATTTGCAGACTGTGCCAGGAAGTGCGGAATTTTATACAATAATCACATTTGCTTGGATAATGATTTTAGAATTATTTTTATATTGTTGGTTTGGAAATGAAGTAGAACTTAAGGTATTTATACAAAATACGAATTTTGAAGATTCTGTATCTATTTTTGTTACAGAGCAGTAACATTCCTGCAGCTGCCTGTAATTGCAACTGGATTGGTAAATCCATAAAGTTGCAAAAAATGGTGCTATTTTTCGTAATGCGAACTCAAAGGCATATGACCATAAATGCACACAATTTGTTTTCACTAACACTACGCACTTACATGGGAGTAAGGACTAAAAATCGCCACGTTTTCTTTTAAATTGGGTTAATTTTAGATTATGCGCAGTTCGTGGTCGTATTTTGCTGTGTTACGGCAAATGAATGCCCCTCAAGTTTGAATTGTTCTACAAGTTCTACAGGAGTTGTTATTAGCACACAAAATCATAACACAAAATTTAATAAATAAACTGAAAATCTGCAAGTACAAACTTTTTTGTCCTTTGTTCTTCTGAAATAGGAAGTATCCTGATCTGTTTTGATGTTTAGTATCTATGTTATGATGTTATGGTTATTAAAATTTATAATTCTTGGTATCTGATAATAATATTTTATGAGTGTTCTAATCCTTTTTAATATATAATGTCATAAACGTTAAGAATATATTATATTTGTTGTTCTAAGTATATATATGTTATTTAATAATTTGCTAGTGAATTATTGATATTTGTATGACTAAATCGGAATTTGAACATAAGGTATATTGGGGATGTACGAAAGATGTGCGAAAATTTTATGAAGAGAGTAAATTGTTTTAATGATGTTAGATCAGATGCTATGTAATTTTTTTTTATTTTTTCAAAAATTAAGTAATATGAGTCATGTGATACCATTGTGTAAAAAAAAACAAAACTTATTTATTGTTATTTGCGTGAATACAGTTGTAAAAAGTTCCATAGATCAATTCTGAAATCGGATTCGAATTCATGGGGTTAAAATTAGTAAGTGGAGCAAAATTTCAGGAGTTTCTGTTGTCGAATAAGGAAATTCTTACCACAACCGCGATATATCAGGTAAAATATTGTTACGAAATAAACCTATATGTCGCCCCGGTACGACGCCTATGACGGGTGACTCACTGTCGTTCTCTAAAGAAAAGCGTGGAAGCGCAAGTCGAGATGGGTGCTCCAGAACAAGCCTAGAAACGGTGACGGCGACCTTTCGACAAGGACCGCGTACTGTTTAAATGGGAAACACCGTCGGGAGCTGTATAATCGCTGTGTAATTAGTCGTGTAAATTTGAGTTACTAAGAAATATATTGTTGAGTTTTACCCACACCGATTTTAAATCACCGAACAACGTAACAAGATCATTACCCAAAAAATATATCTCAGGTTTATGGATTCACCACTTGACAAATGGTTCAAGTTTCGGACTTCTGGACTATGTCATTCAGTTTCTTGAACTTTTCTAGCCGTGCTTGGCAGTGTTTTTTTTTGGGACGAATGAATTAGGTGTTCGGAGTTGGAAAAATCCACAAAAGGGAGGATGTCGTTTTACATATAGACCATTTCAACACAGTTCACATATGGAAGACTTCTGGTTGATATTACGCCAGACCGATAATACGGAGGAAGCTATTTTTTATACACAGGTATTACATAATACAAAAAAAATCAGGAACGCTGCAGGTCAATTTTGAACTTATATTCCTGTTTTGACGGTTAAAATGATCAGTGGAGCAAATTTCAGGTGTCTTTGTTATGGACTAAGGAAGTCTTCAATGTCTGGCGAAATATTTCACAAAAAATATTTTTCGAGTTTACGGGTTCACTATTTGAAAATGGTCCAAGTATTGGATTTCTGGTTAATATTATTCAGTTCCTCGGACTTTTGTAGTCGCATCTGACAGCTGTTTGAGCTCGATAAATTTTTTTAATTTATTAAAAAAAAATATTTTTTCACATGCCTTTAGTTTTTTAACTCATTAAAACAAACAACAAAAATTTACCTAGGTGTTTTGTCTATTAAAATATTTATGAAAATCTTTTGTTTAACCGAGGGTGCTGCTCCCTAAATTTTCCACTACAATTTTACCGTCGTAAAACAGATGACGATTTTGTATTAAATATTCAACTGAATTCATTATTTTTATTTAAAATTAAACAATTTCATTCGCGCAGAATGAAAATGGAGAGTCCATAGTACTTCAATTATTGCTAGCGGTCACTGTTTCAAATGTGACCTGATTCTAGCCAAATACAGCGATTAGAGGCGCGGTTTCCATGGCAACGGTGTAAAGAAAAAGTCTAAATGAGTGGAGGTTGGGTCTCCGATTTTATCGAGATCTTACCAATGGTACAATATCTTTAGATGTTGGTTTTGATACATATGATGCAAATGGAGCGAAGTAAAAAAATTAGTTTTGATAATAATTATCACACAAACTTTCAAGTATTTTTTTTGGCACCAGCCGCCCCTGGGTGGTATAATAATTAACTAAGTTCTTTCATATATTAATAAAATGACCTCAGTTATACGTAACATCCCATACATGAATTTATTACTAATTTATGCATTTTTATTTTTAATTTGTTATGATATTTTTGCCAACATTTTTTTGGTAATTCGCGCTTTTGTGATGTTTAGATAAAAAAACACGAAAAATCAAGTTTTATTATTGGGACTAGAATGCAAGGGTAGAGTTTTTGTAAGCTCTGGTTAAAAATAATGGTATCTTAATTTCTTGCAGTAGAGGGAATTTTAACAAGCTGATGTAAATAATATCAATATTATACTGGGTGTTGATAAAGTTTTTTTGAAAAATCCTTGGACGGGTCGATTTTGTTTTTTAAAATGACACTTTTTGATGTAAAAATTAATTTTTTGTAACCAGTCGTTTTTTCAGTGACGCTATTAATGATTTTTTTAAATGCGAACCGCGACTTTTTCTTTCGGATGTTGATACATCCAGGACCAATTAACTAGGCCGTACAAAAATTTGGTACTTTTTGTGAAAATGGGGACAACAAACATTCGATTTTTACTGGAAACGAATGAGGGATTCGCAACTGCTGAAGTAGTTTTTATGTATCCAACAACTCAAAAAAAGTTTCTTGGTGTTCAAAACCTGCGAATTGCTATTAAACGTAAGTATTAAATTTGACGAAAGGTGACACCTTATCCAAAAAAGCCGTTCTTAGTTATTAGAAACATGGTGAATTTAACAGAATGGGAGAGAATTGAAATTTTAATAATGATTGAGTACGGTGCCAAAGTATGAAGTCATAAAGAGATAGAATAGTAGCAGTTTTGTTCTTGGTTTTCTGTAGAATTTCCCTTCAAATTGTATTAACAAACCGAATTTTTGTTTTTTAAATTTAGTAAGTTTTTTTTTCAAAAAAAATGCTTATGTAAGGCGCTAACTTTTCTCTACGACCATATAACTAATAAAAACATCTATCAGAATCCGAAAGAAAATATTGGGGATACTATTTAAAAAAATCCTTTTTACGTCAGCGTCGTTTTTAAAAAATAAAATTGACCTGTCCCAGGATTTTTCAAGACAACGTCAATTTACGGAAATATGAATTTTGTGCCGAACTTTATCAACACCTTGTATACAAAAGACACAAGTTCAGAATTAAAAAATACTCGTAAGTACATAAAGTAGTGCCTTGAATCAATTCTTACCTGACATACTGTGTTCACAATTTTGTTTCCAGTTTTTTATTTTTTAACTTAAAATGTGTTGCTTGTGTGATGTTTTACAAAAAATCTCACACTTCATGTCAAGAGCTGTGCCAGTTCTAATATTTCAGTATAAATCTTAACAGAACGTAAAATTACTAAATTATGAAAAACCATTCAAGGGCTAACTGCAGCAAATGTAGTCAAAAGAGAAAGTTTTCGCTTTTTCGGTTCCTTAATCATTAATTTCAACCGCCTCATTTTGAATTGATACAAACCCTTTGATCTCAGTTTTGGTAACTGTCTTAATAAATTATTTGTATTTCCTCTTATAATTAATATTACAACAAAAGGAAAAAGTTAATTACACGATTCTTATTCAATGCACGGATTTTTATCAAACTAAGTGCGAACGCAGTGTTTTTCTTTAAATATTTTAGTGATTGTTGTGTCATAGTAAAAAAGAACAAGGGCCTTCAGACATTCATGAGTTGATAGTAGAGTTAGAGGTACGTAGATGAAGCAAGAGTGTTTTTAATTCAGTTGTTTTTCAGATTTTCAGCTAAGTCAGAGCGAAATTTCTGTAATTTTGACTTTATAAATAACTGGTTGAAGCTAAGAAATGAATAAACTTGCATTACTGTTGTTATTGTTAAATATCACTGCAGAATTACTACGGATATGTGATGTTTTAGAAAGATTACTACAGGTAGTTTGTCAAACTTCTGGTCTGGAAAGTTTTGTTCAAAAGGATACTGACTTCAAGTTAAAATTTTGGGAATTCTTGGATTTGCTACTGTCAGTTAAATGTTTTCTAAATTGTTGTTTTTCTGTTGCTATGTTTCCATGCAAGTTGGAAATTCATTTTAGTACGACTAATGCAGGTAGTAAAAATATCAATCTTGTTTTTTCTCAAATACTTTAGAGACGAAAATTCGAAGTTGATATAATGATTTAGGACAGTTATAAAACCACAATATAGAAAACTAATTATTTTATTTGATGTAATTTGAGTGATGTTTTAAGATAACACGCTGTACATATTATTGGCATTTGTGTAATATTCTATAATATTTATTCAATAATAAAAATTAAAGTTACTACTTATTATATTAACGATTTTTGACTAAAATTGCTATTTAAATTGTCCCCAAGTTTAAATTATACTACAAGTTCCACAGGCTTTGGTTTTAGCACACAAATTTATAATACAAAATTCAATAAATTCAATCAATTCAATTGAAAAGTTCTTTTGATCTAACATAAAATTATCAAGAAACACCATTAATCTCTTGGTCTTATCATCATCCTTACTTCTTTGAGACTATAAGTAAACCCATGCCACGTGTCCCAAAATATCGCCTGGTGATAGTCGCTGGCTTTTTTGCTTTTAAAATACAGTCCTGTGGGATTCCCCGTTTTACAATTACGGTGCCACCATCCACTCTTTGAAAATGAAGCACAGTTCTTTGATGAATGTTGATCCTGATCCTTATCTTTAGTAGTGAATTTCATGCCGGCTTGGTTTACGAAAGAATCTCCAGCAGACCCGCTAAACCCTCCCAGTAGCTTTAAAATATAGCCTTCGTCTTCACCACCAATGCCAAATTAATCATAGTGAGCATCCGCTTGCAGACCATCCCAGTCGACAAATTCGAACAGTAGTTCTGCAAATTCGTAACCTACAATTATGAAATAATTTTTTTTATTTAATGACTCCAGTAATAATATATCGGATTTACCTGCCATGTAGTGAAGCTTTTCTAAACCTAACCAGAATTCGCCAGCTAAGTTACCAAATCCTTGCTTGTAACTGTTCCAGTCCCTATAAAAATCCTGAGAGCCGTCGATTCTCTTGAGAATCATTGTCCAACCACCGTCTGAACTGTGCATGTTACACAGAACTGGAAAAGGTTCAGGGGCATGTTTGGGCTGAATAAAATAATAATTGGACGCGTTCTGGCCGCTTTTCAAAATTTCTTTGCAACTTTGTGGATAGTGGATAGTGTCAAGAGTCGTAGATTGCTGCGACAAAAATATTATATATTTTTTATTTCAGTTTTGTCGAAACTAAATTATTAGTTTTGTTCTAGTAAATACTTACTTCTTAAGAAGAAATGTTGTGTGGACATATTAATGTAATTATTAACAAACTTAGTAAATTTAAGCAATTGTACATTTTATTGGAGGCTGGAAAGATAAAAACTTTTAGTGAATCGTTAACAAGAGTGTACAAATAGCGGCTTTATATATAGATTCTAAACTTAATTATCAGGTATTATTTGGGCAACTTGATCTTGAAATGTGTCATTGTAGAAATTTGAGTATTTGTTAGGTAAGTGTGCAACTTAATTTTAAAATCCGTCATTTCAAAAAGAATAACATACTTTTTGAGATAAGATAAGATCAACGACACTTTAAACTAAGTTTAGCACGTCTTGACTTATAAAGGAATAACTACTGCCCTTCCTATCTTTTTTATTTCCCGAGCGTAATCGAGCGACTTGTTACTTTCATATTTTCTCGATGTTTCATGACCCCTACACAGGGCCGTACCTAGGCTGACGTTACCGTAGGAAAATTGTTGCCTCCTCCTCCTTATTATTATTATTATTAATATTATACTGCATCTACCCAAATTGACATACGTGTTCTAACAAGTGTCTGTGAAGTGTTTTATCTCGACAATGTAAAGAATACACACGTCTTTATATAATAATGACAAAACAACAGTTATAATATTCACAACATTTTGTTCGATTTAAACCACAATTAATAATGTTAGTCCTGTTTTGAGAAGACAAACTCATTCAAATCAAACTAACTTCTACGTGACATTCTTTCGATGTATAAACATAAATAAACACTTGAGCTTCAGATTGCTATTACCTATTGCTGGAGCCTAAGGGATGAAATTTATGCCTCTGGTTTTTACATCACAGCGGTTATCACAAAATGAAAATCGTAAAATTAAATTGTATCAGTTTTTTCTTGAAGAGCTGGATTTGTCGGATTGTTACTATAGCTTTCGACCAATTTTTTATTGATCAACCTCATTTATTAGATTTGCTTACACAGGGTCACTCAAAAAAAATTAATGATTCAGTCAATTTATTATATTGAATAAATCAAGAATTGCAAAAGTGAATACTTTGAAATCTTGTAAACGTTTTAAAATTACTGTAAGGATGGTAGGTAAATTGTTATTCAAAATATATCTGTTTATTCCCCCAAAAAACTGATGATGCCGGATTAAAGTTTTTACTTGTGATTTATCATTGCATTCATATTTTTTATATTTCTTTAAACAAATGGCTCAAAAAAATTAATGAATGAGCCAGTTTATTTTATTGATTAAATCAGGAACGGCCCACTCCGTTTTCCCAGAAAATTTTGCGAATATAATACTATTATTAATTGTTATTAGTTTTACACTGCACCAATCCAAGTTGATTTACGTGTTCTTGCAAAAAATGTTGATGACGTCATCACAAAATTGTTAAAGAAAGACTCAACTGGAAAATGCTGTATATGTTTCATTGTACTTCAGGAGAGGGAGAAGTTTTGTTGAAACAACTTTCGACCAATTTTTTTAATTTGATAAAGGTTTTACATCACGTATCTTTAAAAACCAAAATTTCAGTTATTAATGGAAATTTTGGAACGCGGTTTTCACTACTGTTTTCGCTTATAAAAGTGTATAAATTCTATGAAAAACAGTGTCAACTTTTAATAAACGGTGTTTCTTGTTAAACTGCCCCCGCGTTATATATTGAAAGGTGTGGACAGATTATATTTAAAATTTCGTAACATTAAGTTTGTTACTAAGTGTTAACATTATGGTAATATTATGATATTAATATAAGTTAATAAGTTACTCATTTTTTACTCTTTTCTGACAACTGAATCCTGGGCAATAATTTATGACTCTTGTATTTCTCTGAACAAATAAAAAACTTGTTAATTGTAGTTTTAATCTAAATATTTAATTATTTATTTAGGTTGGCATTATTAAAAATTTACAAAACTCAACAAAAAAAACTCCAAGGTGTTTTTTATTTATCTTTGTTTCTAGAAAGTTTAAGTGGAAATTTTTTTGTCTAGATCTGCACTTGATTATTTAAATACTACATATCGTAATCTAATCTGGTGCACTCCATACCGTCAATTCGGCAATAACAAACCTTTGAAGTTAAGATTAAGTTAAATATTAATAGGTGTACGATCAAAAATTGGATTTTATATTCAGATATGATTCTTTCCGAAGAACCGCCCACGCATCTGCTCATTTTCTCATTACAACAATGAAAATACTTTCTTGACAAATCAATAACAAGAATAAAGGAAACGTAATCCACTGACAAAAAAAAAACATCTCCAATTTGACCCTTCATTTTTAATTGATGCAACGTCTCCACTCAACCCTTTGATGTCACCTTTGGTAACTTTTCCGACAATTAATTATTTGAACACTTTTACTTTTAATTAATATTGCAACAAAGACACAACCACTTTATAGTATCGCAGCTCATCACGCAACACATTTCTCATCTATAAAAGCTGCTCAAACATTTTTCTCCTCTGTTACGAAGTTAACACTGTGCTTGCTATAACTCTAAACAATTCTCAGAAGCAGTTCGGTGACTAAAAGTAAAACTAACGCAAACATGAAACAGTTCAACTGGGGTTCTATCTTTGACCCAATTCTTCTTTCTTTAAGAATGGTAGGACTGTGGCCAAGCTCTGATTCATACAAAGCCAACTCCTACACCCTCTACGCCTTTATTTGCGTCCCTTTGTTCATGCTTGCCAACACATTTTTTCAAGCTATCAACATATTCATGGTTGAGATGGACCTCAAAGCTCTAGCTGCGGCGCTTTTTGTGGCAGCTCATGTCATGGCAGTGGTCAAAATCGCAGCTTTGTTAATTCACCTGAAAACGCTGAAGAAACTTACATCGCATGTTAACCACCTGAAGCTTCAAGCCTGCGGTAACCGACATGGGAAAGTCGTGGAAATTAATTTAAAAATGTGGATGATGCTGTATCGAGGTTTCCAAGTGGGGGTGTCTACCATGGTGATTTTTTGGTTGTGTAGGCCTTTTTTGGATAACTCTTACAAAAATTACGAGTTGCCAATTTTTTCGTGGTATCCCTTTGATGTTAAGTCGACACCTTGGTACCAGTTTGCGTACATCTACCAAATTATCAGTATTATTTTTATGGCTATTGCTAATTTGAACCTGGATTCTTTGTCCTTGTCGCTGATGGTTTATATAGGAACACAGTGTGACATTCTTTGCGATAATTTAAAAGCTATTAGGAACTTGAGTGACTTGGTGCGATGTATTAAATACCACAAAGCGGTGTTAAGGTAAGCTCGACTTAATTTTACACTGGCGAGTGACCTTTCTGATTTCAGGTTTGCAGTAGATTTTAATGTTTTTTTCAGCAACATAATACTGGGACAGTTTTTCACAAGTGTAGCCACCATAGCGCTGGGTTTATTTAAACTAACTTTGGTATGAATTATCTTAATATTTGATTTTATTTGGTTTAAAAAAATATCCGCAGACGGTGCCTGGAAGTTCCGAATTTTATACACTTGTTGCCTTTTTCAATATGGGCACGTTTCAAATTTTTTTGTACTGCTGGTTTGGTAACGAAGTTGAGCTGAAGGTAAGTGTGACAATCTGAATATTTTCAATTTTTGTTTGTTTTATGGATACAGAGCACTAATATTCCTGAAGCTGCTTTTCAATCTGAATGGATCGGTGTTTCGCTGAATTTTCAAAAGACGTTGTTAATTTTTTTAACGAGAACGCAAAGGCATATTAGTATAACTGCATTCAATCTGTTTCCCTTGTCACTGCAAACCTTCATGACGGTGAGTTCCACAAGTGTGAGTGAAGCTTTTGCAATTACCAGTGATTTCAGATTATGCGAACTTCTTGGTCGTATTTTGCTGTGTTACAACAGCTGAATTCTTCTCTTTAGTGAAGTTTTCTGGACTTAGCATTTAGCAGAATTGTTAGTAGATTGTAACACACAATTAAAAATATTCAAGATGAAAAAGGGCGTCTCTATTTATTTTTCTTAGTGCAGAATAATAAACACATTCGGTTTATCTATTTTTCAAAGTCATGAAAAAAATCTACGAAATATTTATTAACCAAAATTTATTGTCACTTTTTTTGTAAAAATTTTTAGATCCTAATGAAATAATGACATTTTTGTAAATATATGTAAACATACAAACTTGTTTAAAATTATTTCGCCCCTTTAGTACTGTCCAACAAATACAACTTCGACGAAAAATTGTAATTTGATTTTTGAAAATTTTATTTTTTTATGACAACCGATATAAGTTAAAATAAAAAACTTAAATACAGGTAAACCAGTTACAGTGTAAGAAAAAAATCGAGATGCTGGGTCGAACCCACTGAGCTACCACGTTTGACACTGTTTCGAATTAAGTACGAGGTGAATTTGTCAATTTGATAAAATAAATCACAATCATTAATAGTCAACCGGTATTTACAGAACAGCTTTATTATTAGTATTATTAAACAATAAAATTTTAATAATAATAGACAAAATCAAGGTGAATTAGTAAATCGCAAGTACAGGGATAGGTTATTTTATAAAATTAAATAATATATTACTATGCACAATTTTGAGATGACGCCATCAGATAGTTGGTGGGGAGGATTACACACACTTGGGTTAGCGTTTTACCATGAACATGGTAAAATATGTATAAGTTGATAACAAATAGTTCGGTAGTATCGGAGATTATCTGTTTAATAAAAATTCGGCACCGAATAGCAGATTTATTTTTAAATCAAGAATATTGGCGTTCAAATTATGAAAAAGTTTTAACGGTAAAAAACTTACATATGTTTATATAAATAAATCTGGAAACTTAATAGTCTCGACCAAATCCATCATGTTATTAAGCAATTTTTTAAGTGGCATAGTCATGAAAATTGAACTCAGTTTTATAAAATTTTTAATGCTTGAAAAAATAGGAAAACTTGCTTGACATTTGAAAGTTTACAGTTATGGCGGTAATATTATAATTTAGAAAAACAAGTCGTATATAACGGACAATATGGAATATATTCAAAAGCAAATAACCAGGGAAAATAGTGTATTATTATCAGTGTACATGCTTAACTTCGATAGAAATTTGTTTGATTTGAATGCGTTGTCTCCTCAAAACATAGGACTAAAGTTACTAATTAAATCATAATGGAACAAAATGTTTTGAATATCATTTTATTATTCATATTTGATCATAATTAAATAAAGACGTGGGTATTCTTATATTTTCTGGAAAATGAGGTTCTTAATTTGATTAAGCTGAAAAACTGAAAGCGGATTCGTACACTACAAATATAGAAGTATTATTTTTGTATAACATTGATATGGTTTTAAAATACGGTTCACTGGGATGACGTCATCAAATTAAATTAGTAGTTTCGGAGATTACGTATCTAATAAAAATGGATACAGATAGACAGACAGACAGAAATGGGAGACTACTTTTTTCATACTGTAAGGGCCATGAAACGTCGAGAAAACATAAAAGTGGCAATTCGTCCGGTGGACTAGATTACTATACTTCCTTAGCTTATACTCGGGAAGCAAAACAGTTACACACCAAAGTTATACGGTTCTTGAGTATTCTTATTGACTTTAAACTCTTAACTTATTTTTGAAATTACGATGCGAAGTTGCCACGTTATTTTAGTTTTTTGAAATTTTTTAGTAATCCAAAAAAATTCACAAAAAAGCCGCAAAAGTTTATTTGGAAGAAGAAGCTTTGTTGTGGTCTAAATTAAATTTTTCCAAATAGAACACGCCGTATTACATTGCGATAACCCAAGTATCTCGTCTTAAAATAACATGTAAAAAAAAATTGAAAGGCCGCGAAAAATTAAAAAAATTGGCATTGGCTGTGATCGTCTAACAAAATGGAACCTACGTTGTGTTTTTTTTGTGGCGGAATGCGTTAAGATGCACTTGATGGATCCCAAGGTTGGAAAAGTAGTGCGAAATAAAACACAAAATATATGGAGGACACAAAATTATTTATTCCCCCCCCCTGACAAAAAAAAAGAAAAAAACTGCGATTAAGTTGCGCAGCTTGAAGACCTTCTTAGTTCTCAGCCACAAAAACGTATCTTTGAATGAAATCAAATTAAACGTTCTGAATCAATGCAAATATTTAATAAAAACAAAGAAAAAAATGAAGTCAAGTAACTGGACGCAAATACAAAAGTTATTACGGACGTGTGGCGCCAACTTTAAAATTATGGCAGTCAACAAGAGAACAAAACTTAATAAAAACTCTATGCAGCGGGTGGCGATCCAACTATATCAATTTCATTCTAAATTCAGAATTACCCATAGATGCCGTTGTAGCACAAGCGGAGTTTGGGGCTCCTGGTCGTGGTTGTTCTCCCACCACGACGGTGATTCTATTCTGTCAGCAAGCACTGCCGCACAGCAGCCCTCTGTCACGAAGAAACGTGCCGTACGGGCAGACCGTTACGTTATCTACCAAGGAAGCCAACTTCTACCAACCCTTTCACTAGATAAATCTTTTTTCACTTTTTACTTCCTGAGCTTTCATTGGCCGATTATCTCCACCAACAATTTTGTGATGTTCATTTAATTTTTTTAGTAACGGTCATTTAAATTTTATATAAATCGTACTTTTGTGGTTTATGAATCCGCCTTGAGCTTTAGTCCAAATTTTTGCAAAAAATCCTTTTATAACTTTTTATACTAGCGGGATTTGTTGGACAGTACTTCAGGGGCGACGCAAGTTCCGTCTAAATACCCTTAGATCAATCTTTATCATTTATATGTTAAGGAACTTACTAAACAAATATTAGAAGTTAACAAATAAAAATAAAAAATGATCAATGTGCTGCTTAAGCCCTACTGTCTATGTTTTTTTAATAATTACTAAAACAATGTAAATTAGTAGAGACTTCTTAGAAATTTTGAAAGTATACTAACATTACTTGAAAAATGGTAAAATATTGACTACCATTTGCATCCTTTCCGTAAAGCAGAGAACGTCATAGTAGAAATGATTAAGTTATATTTTCTATGTGTCTTAATGTTCAGTGAAAAAGTGAGTTATAATAAGCGGAAAATACGCTTTCGTATTAGTTTATTTAGAAATATTTTACTAAATAAACAGTTACATGAAATTTATTGATACATATTAACTACGCTGTGTACTTGAGGTACATTAAAGAAAATTTTTAACAGAAAACCTAATTAATACCTACATATTTATAAACCAGGTACAGTAGTAGTTAAAGCTATAACGTAGAAGTCGTAAAAACAAAATTTTTAAATTCTACTAGTTCAACAGAGCTCAGATTATTACTATTATTATTATATTATTGAAAAAATTCTCCATTAAAGTAGTCATAACTGCCCTTACTACTGAAATTAAATTTTCTTTTAGATGATGTTCCGTATGCGCAAATGTAGAATTGTAAAGTTCCAAAATCCTGTGTAAATTTATTTGCTATTAACACTGTGCAAGAGTGCAAAGTAGGACCACGACGTACGCATAATCTGTAAATAATTAATGTGATAAGTATAATAATTAATGTTACTATTAATAACAACTTACAGTTACAAAAGTGGCTAGAGAAAGATCAAATAAATTTATAGCCGTTATCTTAATAGGCCTATGACAGCGTTCGACCAAAATCTGCATATTTTTATTAACATGAAGGGAAACATCAACCCATTGAGAACTAAAGATGGAGTAAGGAATTTTACTACTCTGTGAACAAAACAATAACAAAAAATTTCTAAAACGTAGCAATAATATTACTTTCGTTTCCACTTCATTTCCAAACCAACAATAAAGAAAAAGCTGTGCTGCAAGACCCATAACATAGAACAAAGCAACAATAGCTGCTGCATCCAAATTGTCAACCTGAAAAACAATCAAGCAAAATTTGATTAAGTAGACGATTGACTTACCAAACTAAGTTGAAACAAACTTAAGGCAATAGTAAGGGCGCTAGTGGCAAACTGGCCCAGAACGATTAAATTAAAAATGGAATTAGCTGTGGTAGCAAAACTAAAACATTTCAATTAACATACACACAAATTTACACCGAAGATTTCTTAAAATTCTCGATGTTGCGAGACTGACTTAGTCAAACATCGCAATTTTTTACCTCAGAATAGTTTCATGATGTTTCACACAATTCACCAACTTCATGTTAAATTCTTCCGCGTTACCATCAAGATTTTCCAGATTGTCGCACAAAAGGTCACACTGTGTGCTAGTGTACATCAAGAGCCCGTAAACCATCGTGTCTACATTTATGTTTCCAATAGACAAGTAAGTGAAACATATGGCTTGATAAATGTAAGCGATCGCATAGTTTATGTTTTTTTCCAGAGAAAACGGATACCAAGCGGGCATAATGAGCATACGTCCACCCACAGTAAGAGGACCCACGACCCACAGTACCATACAAAAACTCACGTAAGACCCCCAGCAAATGTAACAAGTTTTCCATCGTTTCAGTATGGGCTGAACTAATTTCACTTGGCTTTCAGTTTTCGGCTGAAACTGGTGGCTGTTTAAAATGCGAACCAGCTTTTTCATGTTTCCCACGTTACGCACGAAAAAACACATTTTTGCGACTCCAAGCATGTTTGTAATTAAGATGAAACACGTGTTGGCCAAGGCTGCCAGATCCTGGTAGACGACAAAGATATTGGCGATTTGGGACAAGTTGTGTAAGCCGATTAAAGTAATGGCGTTGAGTATGGCGTAGATTGTGTAGGAATTGAATTTGTACAGTTGCCCACTGTCCCCACGAGGCCATATTCCGACAATACGTAGCGCCTTGAAATTTAGTTCAGTGGTTGACATCCAGTCAAATTTTTGCATTTCTTAGAGTTCAGAAAAATATGAAACGAAAATTATCACCAGCTGAAAGCGCTGAATTTTTAAGACTGTTAATTGTTTCTGGCTGCGGAATTACGACTGAATGCCTGCAAGCAAGTTCGGAAATTATATTAATCTAAAAACTAATTTATTTATTGGGGAATTTATGAAACTTTGATATTTGGTTGTCCTCGGAACTATTAATTACACGTTTCTGTAATTAAAGGGTAAAAGAAAATCTACCCACTTATTGTGTTTTTGTGGGCGCATTAATGTATTTTTCATGAAAAAAATTACTGAAAAGCATTTTTTTTAATTATTGGAGATGTGACTACTTTAAAATACTTAGCCTCCACGTACCTGTAATTACGATTGCGTGAGAAGGACAATTGTTATAGATTATTATTAAGAAAGTTTGGTTTCATTTTATCAATAACGGCTTTAGATCTTGTCTTTGTACGTTGATAGAGGTTATAGTTGTGTAGTTTACTCCAAAAAGACAAGACACTGAAATGTCAAGGTTATTCTAACATAAAAAAAAATAAATAAAACTTGTAGTTGGAGCTCCACATCAAATATTCAAGAATTCAAGTTAAAGGCAGATGTACAGGTATAAAACACCCTAATATGATGGATTAAACACTAAAGGAAAAAAAACACATGACATAGTGCAAATCGATTGGTCCTTAGATGGTGAGGTACATTTCATTTAATTTACTATTTTCTTATTTTTGTTAACTTGTTGATCCTTTTAATTTGCTCATAAACACGTTTGATAAATTGCCATGCACCAAAAAATTTTTTAGGCTCGAGAAGTAATAAAGGCGGATTCATAAATCATAAGTTTAAAAATATGTTATTTTATAAAATTTAATTAACATTTACTATGCAAAATTTTGATATGACGTCATCACATTGTTGGTGGGGATAATCAGACAAATTCTAATTTGTTTTTTCATATACACAACATTCCTAAAAACAAATCAAATCAAATTTTAGCTAACAAAGTTTCAGTAGTTTCGGAAATTATCTGTCTAATAAGTATCAACACAGACAACAGACGCAAACGGGAGACCCATTTTTTTCACACTTTGGGAATAACGAAACATTAAGAAAACATGAAATTAGCAGTTTGCTGTACGGACCCTATTAAATACTTCCGTTTCCTTATGTCCGTCGCCTGTGGTTTGTCGTCAGCCGTCTGTGATTATTTTTATTAGACAGAGAATTTCCAAAACTACCGGCCCGATTGTTGAGTGCGACATGTGACCAGATACTGCATAATCAAAGATATTTGTTTATTTTCGTTACATCATGCGTTTCTCATCAAAATTTATGTAACACTGACATGATACTATAAAATGAAAGACATTTTTATTTCACGTGTTCTTAATTGCAACATATTAATTTTAATGAAATTTATAATTTCATAATGTTTTGGTATCTTACAGCCATGTCGAATCAGAAGTTGCGCTAAATTTAAAATGAAATCTAGGCAAGTGAAATTGAATACCAATTATAGTAAATTTTATTGCAACAAAATTGCATAAAGAATATCGTTTGATAGCGCAATTGTTTCCTTTTTCGAAGTTAATACAATATTTGTGAAAGATTAAACAAAAGAACTGGGCGTGTTTGCAAAAATGTCAATGTAGTTTTTGCTTAATTTCATATCTTTTACAAAACAAGGATTATTGAAATAATGAAATATTTTGCACTTATGCTCTTGAAGTATTGTAATCGGCAGACTACCCACTTCAGTGTTTTCTTGACGTTTAATGACTCCCAGAGTACGAAAAATGGTCCTCCGTTTCCGTCCGTCTGTCGTTTGTCGCCTGCCATCTGTGCCAATTTTTATTAGACAGTTAATCTCCGAAACTACTGGACCGATTATAGCCAAATTTTATGTGTATTTTAAGAGTATCTTCTAAATGGTAAAACTCTAACCAAAATAATTTTTCTAATTATCGGTCACTACCAACAATTTGACGATACCTACTCATAAAATTGCGTACTTAAGTTATTATCTAAATTTTGTGAAAAAATATGTTTCTATACTCGTGGTTCATAAATTTTACTTCACAAAAAAAATAGTCGAAGATTATTTCGACAGAACTTACCTCGCCCCTGAAGTATAATAAAACATAGACAAATTTTCGAAAAATTATAAAATTTTAATTAAATGGACTAAACCGTTCCTGATTTAACCAATAAAACAAACTGACTCATTCATTAAATTCTTTGTGTCACCCTGTATAAGGAATTAAAAAAATATATATAAATGCATTGATAAACCACAAGTACAATAGTTATCTAAAATGTAAATAGAATTTATTTATAGAATTTTGAGATGACGTCATTAATTTAAAAAAAAAATCCAACACGGATTCATAAACTACACGTGTAGAACTAGGTACCGCGTCAATTCGTCGTGCACAATTCGTCGCGCGACAATTGATCGCAAACAACTGATCGCAGCGTCAATTGGTCGCAGCGACAACTGGTCGCAACGACAACTGGTCGCAGTCACAATTGATCGCAACACAATTCGTCGCAAGTACAACTGGTCGCATGCGACAATTGATCGCAGGCGAAAAATAATAGCGTTTATAGAGAAATAAGTAATTGTTATGAATGAGGAAAATAAATTAATGTGCTATATTTTCAAAAATTTCATTATTTCTAAAAAAAGTGCCAAAATAAATACATACGAGTTCCATAAAAACGGTAACTATTAGGCTCATTTCCGACTAAACCAAAGTGCAAAAAAGTGAAAATATTGTAAAATATTTTTTTTAATGCTGACACATCTCGTCGGTATGCTACTGTAATGTTCATTTGGATTATTCGTCTTATTGATTAGACGCTCAAGTAAGTGATTCAAGCTTTTCTTCTCACAAGTTTAAAGTTTGTCAATTAAACGAGTGAAAAAAATAGCTTTCAAAACGTGTTGGACGTCATTTTTCTTTAATAAAAAATGGTTTTAAAATTATTACAACTGTCAAATTAAAAAGTTATAGATAAATCGTGAAAAAACTCTCGTTACAGTTTTAAGTGAAAAAGTATTATTTTCATTAAGTTTGTTAGTTTAAAAAATTAAATATATACCTATATTTTTTAATAAATTTGCTGCGTAAAAGGAATTTTTAGAAATAATTTTCTCGTCATTAATCGGTTGCAAAAGATCAAGAGGCACTCGAAGCAAGCCCTGACAAACTTATTAGCGGCGCCAGCGGAGATCTCCAATTGGCTGCGGTACCACCATGGACACTCGCGTAACCTCCTTTTCCAGAATTGTCAAAATGACATTGCCAAACTCAAAGCAATCATGAATTAAGCATTTCATTTTAAATTCTGTTAGTATCAAGTGGTACATGGTATTCGTATTTTGGGTTGCGTAAAAATAATTTTCAGAAATAATTTTCTCGTGATTAACCCTGTATATGTATTTTTTACACCCACATATGGTACAACTGAATTTTTCTTCAGTACAATACTAGTCACATAATAATTAAAAAATAAGTTTTTAGTTGCATAAGTACCTACATTTCTTAGATTTCCCGGTAACACAAAATTATTCTTGACGCTCTAACAAAAGTTTTTGCAATATATATTTACAATACACGTAAACCTTTCTCAAACCCTGTAAAAGATCCGTTGCAATTTACAAGGTATTAAAATAAGTATTATATATCCGTCCAGTGGAATTTATATTCGCTGCATATGGATACTCTAGATGTACTATTATTATTCTGTATCAAAATGTGTTAAAATTTAAAGGTTGTTAAAAATATGATTTTTTAAATAACTGTAATCTAGTTAAGAACAATAAACACTTGTTTTTATGTTGAGTACTTATTATAATGAAGCTAGTTCCTATAATATAATAGGTAAAATAAGAAACGAGATAAATAGAAACAATCTCTTAAAAAAAAATAACCAAAATGACAATTTATTAATAAAAAATCTTATGTAACAAGGTGTTTACGCTCGTATTTTTTAATTTTTAAAGTGCAACTACAAACTTCGTCATTTATCTATATTCAAATTGTTTTTAATTCGATATTTACACCTTACCTGGTTGCTAAATTTATTGCAACTTAAAATTCAGAATACAAAATATTTAGTTTTAATAAAAGAAAATACTTCCCGATGAATTTTACCTTGCGATCAATTGACGCTGCGATAAATTTACGTACGATCTATTGTCGCTGCGATCAATTTACGTGCAATCAATTGTCGCTGCGATCAATTGTCGCCGCGATCAATTGTCGCGTGCGACCAATTGTGCTGCGACGAGTTGCTTGCGATCAATTGTCGCGCGATCAATTGTTTGCGACCAGTTGTCGTAGAATCGTAGAACTATACCCTATATTCATAATACACATAAAAGTTGACAATAATCGGTCCAGTACTTATGGAAATATCTATTCAACAAAAACTGACGCAGACAGCAGACAGACAGACGGAAACGGGAGAACTATATTTTTGTGCTATAAGGTATAAGGTTCATTGAAAATATGAAAGTAGCCGTCGTCCGATGGACTCGATTACAATACTTTCTTAGTTTATGCCGAGGAAGTAAAAATTTTGTGTGCAATATCTTTCATGGTTTAGTAGCCGGTATCTCGCTGTTTGGTCAAGTCCTATCCAGTGTTTTTTTTTAATGTGACTTATTTATTATATTTTTACTTATAGGGACTATCATAAATTAAATAAAATTTTACAGTTTTTCGAAAAAACTGAATTTATTCGACTCTATTTAAGAGACCAGCGCAGATCTGCCTAAATAACCTTAAACCAATATTTTATTTATCATTTTTTCACAAATAAAACAAAAACACTGTATGTTGGAAGAATTTTCATTATAAATATACAGCCATAAAAATAACATTTAAAAAGTAAATTGAACCAACAATTTTCTAAAAGAACAGAAATGATGAGAACATACTTTTTATCTTCTTACTAGAGATTACTAAACGTTGATCCATTTTAACAGAAATATCCATCAGTTAAAATAATATCCTCGTGAACTTGAAAGACCGGAAAGATCTAATATTCTCTTAGACGGTTAATAGTTTGTTTCAGGTCTAATTGTTCTCTTGTATGTTTTAATAACTTTTTGTAGCTTGAATTTGAACATTTATTCTCGTCACCCACGCTTTAGAGCTCAGCTTATTTTGATTTTGAATCGTACTGAGGAAACGCATGATTTAACCTCATATAGACCGAGTAAAGAGTATAATATGCGGAAGTTCACAGGCCAAATTTTGAGTTTTTCACGGGTTCTAAAATTTTGTTCTCATGTTGAATTATGGCGGGATGTTGGGGTTATCAAAATCCGTTCATTATTTTTGAACTGTAAGCATTTGTGAAATAAATAAAATAGACAATGAATACATACAATTTTATTAACATTTTAGTGTTTTCGTCCACACAAAATGTTTTGTTTTTGAGACTAGCATATTAATTAAAACACATTTTAGTATACATAGTGTTTAAAAAAATATAAAACAGTTTTGAAGTGGGTATCTATGTTTCACTTTTTTCAAATAGAACACCCTATATTTTATTATTGGATCTTAGCCTATTTTTGTTCTCTTTCCTTCAATGTCGGTGTGTTCCCTAAAAAAAGTGAAAAATCCCGATAACTATTAACCTTTTAAAAATAAATTGCGGTCATTAAGCCTAAAAATCCGTAAAAATATACTGGTATTCTATTTGAAGAAAATAAGTTGTGTGTTACAGAGTACAACAGCAATAAAATTAAGTGCAACTCAACCAATAACAATAACTAAGTCAACTGCTGAAGAATAGCAAAATAAGAATACGAACTGCGCATAATCTGAAACAAACGTGGATTAGCACCTAAATAAAACACACTTTTTACAAAAATCATTCACCGTCATAAAAGTATCCAAAGACAGATAAAACAAGTTCAATGCAGACATTTTAATGGGTTTTTGGCTCCTTAAAATAATCAGAACCAAACTCTTCCGAACTTCCAATGGCTTTCCTATCCAGTTTGATTCAAAAGTAGCAGAAGGAATATTTCCACTCTAAAAACACCGAAATCATTTAAAATATCACAATTTTATTTTCAGTCACCTGTAAAGTCACTTCGTTGCCAAACCAGCAGTACACAAATATTTGAATAGTTATAGCCGTCACATAAAACACACGAGCAAAAAAGTCCGTTGTGAAAGGAACATCCTTAAACAAAGCTCACACACACAAATTTTAAACAACCCGAACACTTACCATTGTCATTTGAAACATGGCCATCGCGATAGAAAGAACACTTGTGAAAAACTGCACAAAGACAATCCAGTTGAAAAACTTGTTCGACTTTTCGGCAAATCTAAAATTGATTTTGAACCTTCCGTAACGTTCTTTTATAATTAGTTACTCACGTAAGAATTGCTTTGTGGTGTTTGATACATCCTCTTAACTGTTGACTGAGGTCAACTGTTCTCAAATCGTCACACAAAATTTGACACTGAGCCCCCACATACACATTTAAAGCAGCTATCAAAGTGTCGATGTTCACGTTGATGAACGAAGTAACCCCCATACTTATAAACTGGTATAAAAAGGTTATTTCATAAAATGGTGACGGTTTATAATTGTAGGGAAACCACGCTGGAAAAGGTAGTTCATGGTTGGCGATTGAACCATCAGTGAGAGGTGCCACACTCCAAGCACAAAAAGCAGCCATTGTCATCGAGTTGTACATTTTGTACGCTTTTTTCCAGGGATTTAGAGTAAACTCAACTAACTCTCGTTGGGTGGGGCTCTTCGGCTGAAACAAATCGCTATTGATTGTGACCATAAGCTCTTTCAGCAGTTTCATGTTTCGGGTTAAGTAGTACGACTTCAACACAGCTATGGTTAAGGTTATAGAAGCAAATAAAATTGATGCTATGGCTTTCAGGTCGTCTAAAACGGTAAATATGTTGAGAGTCAAAGATAGGTTGAAAATGATGACAAAAAGAGTTAGCGAAATGGTGGCGTATAAAGTGTAGAGGTTTAATTTGTATGAGTCGTCTCCAGGGGGCCAGAGGCCTGCCAGTTTTAACATCCTGATATTTGTTTTGATAGCGTCTTTCCATTCGAATTTCTCCATTATAGAATCTAGAATATTAAAAAAATTAAATAATAGTGTGATACGAAAATTATTAATTCTTCTTAGTTGATATGACAATCAATGAACGCTACTTAGTGCACACTTTGCTTTATAAAAGTTTAACTAGATATATGTCACGTGGGAAAACAGTAAGTGCATTTTTAAAATTTATATTGCATATATTTGAATACAATTCTTTTAGCTTGTTTTTACCTTGAAATAAAAAATTTGGAAAAACATGTGATTATTAATTGTAATAGAAAAAAAATGTTGTTTATAGCATATTTGTGCTTTACGTAAAAGTATGTTATAGGTAATAAGTGTAAATATAGATATTTCTCGTATTTTTTGCTTCCAGTTTATTGTTCTTTTTTTGTGGGTTGCCGGACGTAAATCTGCATAAAAGCATAAGCATAAAACTGTGTATTTTTAGCAAAAAATGTGCATTTTTCGAAGAAATTTTGTGCATATAAATCGGCTCTTCACTAATAACTATTTAATTAAGACGTTAACAAACAATAAGCTCACTTAACTAATAAATATCAGACGACTCACCTCATCAAAATCTTAGACACTTTGTCATATCATCGCTAACTTTTTGCTTTTTATATATCTCCTGTACATTCATCAAATGATTGCTGGCATGTAATTTTACCGCTACAAATAAAACCACATATAATTTTAAAGGATCGTCGCTTGAAATTTCCCACTTTTCAACTTCGTTTCGTAACGATGAACCTATTAGCTTAATATAACGGAATTTATTATTAATGTGTTGAAATTAAAACCCTCCAACTCTGTTTACGCAAATAAGTGTGTAGTTTGTCAGATAGAGAACTGTAATAAAACTGAAATGAAATAAACAGTTTGTGTTCTTGTAGATTACTAGCGGAGAGTGTATGATTATCCTAAACTGTTTGTTTTTATCTCTTTCTGGCTTGTGAGTTGAGTTACAGCTTCATTCAAGAGGGGTCACTACGTATAGCTCGTGTGGGATAATCAATAAATTCCATATGTGTTAATAAAATTTGCAATTTGCGATTTGTGATGTGCACATTCGCACCACTTTCTAGAAAATCAGCAATGCATTTGTTTTTATTTCAACACCACTGGAGAAGATTTATTTTGAAATTTTTAGAATTAGAGACCAATCTTTTGTCTTGCCCCCAATTTTCCAGTCCTTCAACAATCTATTGCTGTTACTATTACTGCTTGGTATAATAACGTTGAAAATACAGAGAGTAAGCTACATATAGCTTCCATCAACCCACAAAAACAGCAGATCTGAAGTCATTGCGAACAAAATGAAGCCAAACTTTCTTAATAATAATCTGTAATAATTTTCCTTCCCATGCAATCGTAATTATATGGTACGTACTGGTGTCTAATTATTTTAAAGGAATCGCATTTCCAGTAACAATTAAAAAAATTCTTTCAAGTTTTTCATGAAAAATATATGAGTGCGGCCGCAAAAATACAATAAGTGGGTCGATTTTCGTTTAACCTTTAATTACAGAAACGTGTAATTAATACTTTTGAGAACACTCAAACATCAAGCTTCTAAATTACCCAATAAATAAATTAGTTTTAGCTAATGTAATTTTCGAACTCTTGTAGGCATTCAGTCGTAATTCCGCGGTAAACAGTAATCATTTAATTGTGTTAGAAATTCAACTCTTGTTCATTTCACTGAAATGCAAAAATTTGACTGGACGTCTGCCATTGAGCTAAACTTCATGGCTTTACGCATTGTAGAAGAAAATGGGAAACTGTACAAATTTAATGCCTACACAGTCTACGCCATATTCAACGCCATTATTTTAATCGGCTTACACAACTTGTCTCAAATCGCCAACATCTTCGTCGTTTATACGGATATGACAACCTTGGTCTACACCTGTTTCATCTTAATTATAAACGTTCTCGCAGTGGTAAAAACGTGTTTTTTCGCACGTAACTTGGGGAACATGAAAAAGCTCTTCCGGATTTTAAACAGCCATCAGTTTCAGCCGAAAACTGAAAAACAAGTGAAATTAGTCCAACCCATATTGAAACGGTGGAAAACGTGTTATATTTGTTGGGGGGTTTTCATGGGTTTTTGTATCCCGTTGTGGGTAATTGGCCCTTTTACTGTAAGTGGACGGATGCTAATTATGCCTGCTTGGTGTCCATTTTCTCTGGAAAAAAACTTCAACTATGCTATGGCTTACATTTATCAAGCCGTATGTTTCACTTACTTGTCTGTTGGAAACATAAATGTGGACACGATGGTTTACGGACTCTTGATGTACACTAACATACAGTGTGACCTTTTGTGCGACAATCTGGCAAATCTTGATGGTAACGCGGAAGAATTTAACACGAAGTTGATGAATTGTGTGAAACATCATGAAACTATTTTGAGGTAAAGTGGTTGCGACGTTTGATTAAGTCACGTTGTTATCCCCACAACACCGAACATTTTTTGAAATTTTCGGTGTTGGTGCGAAAGTTTTATGTTAATTGAAATGTTTTAGTTTTGCTGCCACAGCTAATTCAATTTTTGATTTAATAGTTCTGGGCCAGTTTGCCACTAGCGCCCTTACCATTGCTTTAAGTTTGCTTCAGCTTAGTTTGGTAAATCAGTAGACTGCTGCTTAATCAAATTTTGAATTATTATTTTTTCAGGTTGATCGTTTCGATGCGGTAGCTGCCGTTACTTTGTTTTATATTTTAGATCTTGCAGGACAGCAATTTTTTTATTGCTGGTTTAGCAATGAAGTGGAAATGAAAGTAATTTTGTTACATTTTATTGTGTTTTTGTTATTATTTCGTTCGCAGAGCAGGAAAATTCCTTATTCCATCTTCAGCTCCCAGTGGATTGATATTTCCTTTCATGTTCGCGAGTTTGGAAATTGACAATTCTACATGTGTATTGGAGAAAGTTTTCGAATTACTAACGATCTAAGTTCTGTTGTCTGTGGTATAAGCAAAATGTAAAACTTTACCTATTTTCACGAATTAATAATTGAATAAACTGACACAAAAGCCTATATTGTTAAAAAAAAGGGACACAGCTCTAACCTCCTCCCTCGACTCAGGGTTCTGGTTGGTAGGGCTCAGGTAATCTGCGCTACTTCCCTTAGAATTGTACTTACGGTCTTTGACACATTTGCGACGGGCGACGTAATTCCTTTCGCAAGTGAATTGTGCGGAGGGCCGCAATTCCACGCAACTTCCACTCATCCCGCGAAGAGATATTCCACCTAAAAACCGCCAAATGACCACATACGACACAGAGACAGAAATGGGAGACCTATTTTTCCATGTTCTAGAAGCTATGGAACGTGGAGAACATACGAAAATATAGTTTTCCGCTCAATCACCATGTTACAATACTTCTATACATATGGTCATTACTTTTTTTGAATCACTAACAGTCGCTTACACTGAAATCACGTTTTTTTCCTTTTTTTTCTGAATTTTGGACAAGCCCTTGGAAAAAAATATAGTTCCTAGCGGCTTTTTGTGAAGAAGACACATTCATTGTTATGTCTTATTATAACAATGGCACATTCGTAAACGAAGAGTGTGTGTATTCCGTAACCGCTTGTAAGCAAGAATATCTGGCCAAATACCGTGATTTGGTAATGCAAGAAACATCGTTAGAAGCTCACATTAGAGATGTAATCAACAGATTTGTTCGAACTGGCAGTGTTGGCAGAGGAAAATCTCCTGGAACACCTTCAGTATCTGAGAAAGTTGCTGATAATTTGAGACGATTTGATCAGAAGTTCCTGTTGCAATATGCAATTGAACAGGGTCCAAAGTATTGACGAAAGGATGTTACAGAACATTCTTGAAATTAAGAAGACAGTGAACATGTGCTTTGAAGAAAATGGTGAACATTTTCAATATTTACTGTGATGTTTACCCGCAATAAATTTATTTAATTAATGAATTAGTTTTATTTTTTAATCTGATGGTATATTTGAAAGAATCTGAAAAGTTCGGAGGAATCTGAAAATTCGAAAGAGAGAATCAGAAAGGATCCAAAGAATTTGAAAAAATCTTAAATTCTTTCAGATTTTTTCGATAGTCTCAGATTCTCTCAGAATTTTTCACCTTTCATATCGTTTCAGATTCTTTCAAATTTTTCCAGATCATTTCAGATCCTTGCAGACTCTTTCAGATTCTTCTTGTTTTTTCTAGATTCTTCTGGAATCTTCATAACAGCTAACATCCATCTAGCAAGATAAGAATAGCAATAATTTATCACATTTATTTTTAAAATATTAGAAAAAAAACTTTTTGTTCACTATTGAGGCATTGCCTCACCTGCCTCATAGGACAAACCGCGCCTGCCACTCTCCCTCTCTTTTCTTGCAAGGTATCTCATATGCCAAAACCGGTCTTATTTTAGCAGGTTCTATCACCACCCACCCACCCTTCTTTTCTTACAAGGTATCTCATTTGCCAAAATCTAGCACCTGCTAAGATATGACTGATTTTGGCAAATGACATACCCTATAAGAAAACAGAGGGTGGGTGGGCGGTGTTAATACCTGCGAGGATAAGACTGATTTTGGCAAATGAGATCCTTCTAAGAAAATAGAGGACGGGTGGGCGGGGTTACTTCCTGCTAAGATAAGAGTGTTTTTGGCAGATGAGATCCCTTCTAATAAAAGGGAGGGTGGGTGGTCGGGGCTAGTACCTGCTAGGATAAGACTGATTTTAGCAAATGAAATCTCTCTAAGAAAATAGAGGGCGGGTAGACGAGAGTAGTACTTGCTAAAATCAATTTTATCTTACCAGCTACTAACACCGCCCACCCACTCTTTCTATTCTTAGAGACTATGTCATTTGAGAAAAATCTGTTTTATCTTAGCAACTACTAGCCCCACCCACCCACCCTCTCGTTTCTTACAAGGTATCTCATTGGCCAAAATCTAGTACATGCTAGGATAAGACTGATTTTGGCAAATGAGGTCTCTCTAAGAAAAAATAGGTCGCGTGGGCGAGGCTAGTATCTGCTAAAATCAACTTTATCTTGGCAGCTAACAGTTTTAAACAGAAACCCTGTTTAAGAGTGTTAGCATATACCTCGCGTGACGTGTTGGACCAAATGACCTTGACACAATTTATGGTCCACAACATATCCTTCCATTTTATATTAACTTTGTATTTTTTTTTAATATAGAACATCATTTAACTGTCAATTTTTCTTGCGCAACTTTTAACACCCTTATAATTTAACTAAGATTTTTGTAGACTTCGGGTCTTTACACTTGATTTCGGGGTAGTCAGGGAAAACGGGAGAGATTAAGTTATCGTATCATTATTGTAAATTGTTTAATTTTTAACGGGTTAGTTTTTAGATTGATGGCTTCTAGAGTATGAAATAATAGGTGCCCCATTACTACTGAACGGATTGTTATAAAATTTTACTATTTATTTCTTTTCTCGCAGTACGTTATGAACGCCGTACTTCATAAATGAAGTATTTTGTAAATGCTCAACATTGAAATTTATAAGCGATTAATTTTGATGTTGTTATAGAGAAATTGAAAATTCTGGGACCATAATTTTAATTCTGAATAATTATCTTACTGATTAAATCAAGAACGGTTCCCGTTTCTTTACCTACACTTTAACAGTTCACACATTTTCATTTTAACTTATAGGAGTTATCACAAAGAAAAGATGGCAGTTTAAATTTTATCACCCTGTATTTTTTCCAGAATAAAGTAGTTGGGCCAAAGATCAGGAAAATTTGACGTTCACATTGGTAAAATATTAAATATATTTTATTTATCTATCTATTTTAAAAATTTGAAGACGCTATCTCTAAATTTTGTTAATTGACATGCTGTTTTACCTCTGGTTTAGTAATATATTTTATCCACATGAAGTTGACGTAAAAGTACGTTTCTGAAATTAACTTTTTATCACTTGGCTTAAAACTTATATAACGAATTTGTTTAAAATTTTGCCGCGATTGTAACTTTTATTTAGTAACCACAAAAAATGTGTTAAATTTAGTTTCTATGTATTAATATTCATAAATATCCATCTCTCCAAAAACGGATGATTTCAATTCAAAAAATTAATCAACGTTCATAAATATTTCTTTGATTCATTCAATGGTTTACAATACATAGATGACCTAAAAATAAAAAAATATAGATAAAAAAAATCTGGAAGAATATCAAACTACTTTGATTGAAATTATAAAGGCACAACTAGAAAATAAGAGAAGAAGATTAATAAACGCACGAAATAAAAAAAAAACTTTATTCTAGTATTTATTTTCTACCGTACCTTGCCATGTTGCTGTACGAAAAGTAGTCTCCTGTACACAGTATGTGTGAAATTTGCAAATTCGTCATCCTTTTCTATTTTATATTTTTGCATAAATAAATAAATTGCGGTTTTGGTGAATCTTCAGTAAAATCCACTGCCACTAAAACTTTTATCAGTTGTGCAATATGGTACACATGGAAATCTGTCTTTCATCTAAAGCACACAACCAAAACTACAAAAAACTGGGACCTTCTTACTGACCCCAGGTTCACCACTTGAGAAAATTCGTCCATTAATTATAGATAAGAACTGTCCTTGTCACGCAAAGTAGGTGCATATTTTAATTGCTGCGACATTTAAGATAATTACAAAAATTGCTTTTTTCGTGAATTTTTCATGAAAAATACATAAAGGGCGAGTAAATATTTTGTTACTATTCAATTAGGGGCTGCGGTAATTAATGCTTTCGGAGAAAGTTAGATGATCCAATTTTTACAAATCGCTTAATAAATATTTATCTGTTAGGTTTTTACAGGAAAACAATTCTTTAAAACGCTCAGTCGTTATTTCGTAGTTGGTAAGGTTACAGATTACGAGCTCCTCCATATTTTCAGTTTTCTTAAAGTTTAAAATGCAAAAATTTGAGTGGATGGCCACCGCCGAACTGAACTTTCGAGCTTTATGGAGTGTGGGTTTGTGGCCACGTGGCGAAACTGGAAAGTTCTACAAACACGATTTCTACACACTGTATGCTATATTCAACGCTATTATATTAATCGGTTTACAAAATCTCTCCCAAATCATCAACATCTTCTTTGTGTATTCAGATTTGGCAGCTTTGGCGTCCACATGTTTTGTTGTAATGTCCAACATACTGGGAATCGCAAAAATGTTGGTTTTTGTGTGCAATATAAGAAAAATGAAACAACTTACACGAATGTTGAATAGTCACCAGTTTCAACCGAAATCTGAAGCCCAAGTAAAATTAGTTCAACCGTTGTTAAAACTGTGGAAAAGATTTTATATCTCGTGGGGGTCTTACGTGTCCAGTTGCATGGTACTGTGGCTAGCAGCTCCTCTGATGCATGGTGGACACGAGTTGGTTATACCTGCTTGGTACCCATTTTCTTTAGAAAAGCCACTAAATTACGCGTTTGCGTATGTTTATCAAACTGTAGGTTTTATGTATTCAACAGTTGGTATTATCAACGTTGATACACTTATTTATGCACTCTTGATGTACATTTGTGCCCAGTGCGACCTATTGTGCGACAATCTGGGCAATCTTGATGGTAATGAAGAAGAATTTAATGGAAAATTCATCAGCTGTGTAAAACACTACGAATCAATTCTGAGGTAACGACAATAATAATTTTATCAAAAATCTTTACAGAAATGTTTCAGTTTTGCTAAAATAACTAACAATGTGTTCAATCCTATAATTTTGGGTCAGTTTGGTACTAGCGCTCTTACGATTGCATTAACCCTGTTTCAGCTTAGTCTGGTAAATATTACAAGCAGTACCTTAGTTGTACAATAAAATCTGATTTTGTCATAGGTGGATCATTTTGATACGACAGCTGCTATTAGTATAGTCTACGTTCTTGGGCTTGCAGTAGAGCTTTACGTTTTTTGTTGGTTTGGCAATGAAATAGAAATAAAGGTAATTTAGTTTTGTTATTTGGAAAAAATCTTTTTCAGTGTTCATTTACAGACCAGTAAGATTCCGTACTGCATCTACAGTTCCAACTGGATTGATATTTCCCTTGGAGTCAACAAAAATATTTTTATTTTTGTGGAACGTTGCCAGAAGCCTCTTAAGATAACAGCTATAAATTTATTTGATCTTTCTTTGAAGACTTTTGTTGTTGTAAGTTGTTTGGTGGTTGCTGTCAAGTGATGACGTTAGTAATTTTTGTAGATTATTCGCTCTTCGTGGTCGTACTTTGCACTTTTGAGCACTGTGCATAGAAGATGAATGGTGTTGTGTAAGCTCCAATTTCATATCTACGCATGATTTTATAATTTTTCAATTAAAATTTCCACTACTATTTAAATCTTGTAATTTATTGTTGGTACTAATTTCTTTACTTTCGCAGTTCTTTAAAGTTTGATCAGCGAATTTTGTACTTTCTGATATTTTGGTGTTTTTTATGATGAACTATGTAATAAATTGCATAAAATGAATAGATTAGCAAAATGTGCGAGGTTTAGTCAATTAGCAAATGTTAGACTTAATTCATAATATACAGAGTGTTTTATCTCAAAAAATCTGTTTAGTTTGCGATTTTTGAGCATTATAAACTTGACCAACTTGACCATAGAACATTTAATTGATTCTGGAAATTCCTTTCCACGATTTGTAGAAGAAATCTCTTGTGAATTGACTCTTGTAGAGTTTATTTTGTAGATTGTGGATTTACGTTGAGTTATGAAAACGATACGAGTCATTTTGTTCTTTTGTTCAGAAATTAGAACATTATTTGCATTATTACGCTTTTAAACAAATTTTACCCTACAACAAATTAATTTCAGACTCAGATTTCTAAAAATCTCTTGGTTTTTAAGTACCACTGGTTTTTAATATCTTAATGTTGTATTATGCAACTGAAAAACCTATATATAATAATAAGGAAGTGAGGAAAGACAATAATGATATCGGATAGTTCAGTAGTCAGAAAACCCACCAGGCAAGTGGGAGACGTGGGTTCGAATCCCACTCCAGCTGTAATATTTTTCCTATCCTCACCATCTTTGTTTGAAGATTTTTCATATCTGTATTCTGTTCATGACAGACTTTCTTTTTCAGACACAAAATAGTAGTAATAATGGTAAAAAAAATGTACAGAGTAAACATTCAACAAATTACTATGTTATGTAAAAGCAAAATACAATACCAATTAATTACAAAAAAATATAGTAATTAAGATATAACAATAAAAATGTGATAAGTTAAGCTGTAAATAGGCTTTCTTAAAGTAACAACTATATTAATCTAATTTAACTGGGTCCATTGGATCTTCGCTCCAGTTCGGTGCTAAAAGCTTCAAAGTCGTCAATCATCGGTGAACCAGTAGTACCAGAGCGGTGGTGGTAACGTCATGATCGGCGTAGATGTCTTGAAATGCAATTGGTTCATTATACTGTTGCTAGGCAAGCACACGAGGCTTATTGTGACAATTTTTTATGATGATTTATATTGCAGACCACTTTATAGACTAAAAATGAGGAATAAATATTATGTCTGAAAGACAAACTATACATTTTCAACATCTAAAAGAACTTGTTATTAAATTAAAGGGTGTTTTTAGTACTGCGTTGAGTTAAAAAAAGAAAACGAAAGTTTTAGAGTGTATAAAGCGGCTTAATGTGAATACAAAATATCCCAATGTACCGTTGAAAATTGTAACGAAAAAATTGGTACAAGGTTATTTAGGCAGAAATTCGCTCGTCCCTAAAATACAGTGCAACGAATCCAGTTTTTCTTCGTAGTCTAGTATGTTACTTTAAAAATTTAAATGGTGTTCACCAACCTAAAGTTTGAGGTGACGTCATCAAATTGTTGGTAGGGATATTTAAAAAAATTTTGATTAGCATTTTATCATCTACAGGTTATTCCTAATATACACTTACAATTTGACAACAATCAGTACGGTAGTTTTGGCGATTGTGTGTCTGATATAAAACGACACAAACGACATAAAAACGACGCACAGAGAAAAGAAAGAAAGAGTGAAAGTCCAAAAAATGTGTTAATATAATGTACTGAGGGCTAGCAGAACATTCAGAATACAAAATGTAGTTTTTTTCTTGCTTACACTAATAAATATTTTTTTTTGTTTCTCAGCAGTATATTTCTTTATGACAAAATCGAATTAAAGGATTAAAAAAAAATCAATAAAAATATACCAGACAAAATGACTGATGATGATGTTTTTTCAATTAAGTCTAGCATGAGTAAAATGAGATTTTTTTCATTAAAAAAAATTATAAACTGTACACCACTGGCTATTGTATACTATTATGCAAACTTAAAAACGTAATATTTTTTGGAATAAAAAATTTGTATTTAATGAATAGCGTGCTAGCAGCTGTTAAGATAAGACTGATTTTGGCAAATGAGATACGCTCTACGATAAAATTGAATTTTGACAAATGACATACCCCCGACGGGGCTACTACCTGCTAGGATACGCCTGATTTTGGCGAATGAGATCTCTCTAAGAAAAACGAGGGCGGGTGAGCGGGGCTACTACCTACTAAAATCAGTTTTACCTCAGCAGCTACTAGCTCCGCCCACCCACCCCCTCTTTTCGTATAAGGTATCTCATTTGCCAAAATCAGTTTTATCTTAGCAGCTACTAGCTACCCTCTAAGAAAAGACAGGGTGGGTGGGCGGGGCTAGTACCTATTAAGATAAGACCGATTTTGACAAATTAGATTCTGACATTAGTACAACTGGAGACCTACGTAAAATATTAGTTTTGAAAGAAAAATTATTAAACGTTAAATTTTGTCTTCAATTAATACGGGGAACAATAAAATTAAGCTTATTTAATAAAAACGGACAATCTGTTTTATTGTTGACTAAGTTAAACAGAAACTTCACATTAAGAGGTTACGTCGAATTTGTAAACTAATGAAGTAGAACCGATTTAATAATTGAGAGTGGTATTAGGAGGTTGTGAATAAAATGAATTGACTCTTTCATTAATTTTTTGACTCACCGTGTATAAGTAATTTTAAAAACTACGAGTGCGTTGATAGACCACAAGTACACAGTCATAATATTTTGCATACTTCACAGATACTTTATTTGGTAAAATTTTGAGATTACGTCATCTTTTTTTGGAGCGGATAAACGAATAGATTTTAAATGATTTACCATAATTACGATAACCTTAAAATATTTACAAGATTTGAGGGCATATGGTTTTGCACTTTCAAAGTTAAATTGCAAAATATTGTTTTACAATTTTGATTTTTTTTCCAAAAATTTGGATGTCTATAGTGAAACTTTAAAACTCATTTAGTATTGTAAATTCTAAAGATGACGTCATCCCATTGGAATAATTAGTGAAATTTTAGTTAGTGTTTAACCATTTACAATGTACATATAAAATTTGACAACAATCGATGCAGTAGTTTCGGAAATTTCGTGTCTAATACAAATGGATACAGACATCAGACAGACAGGCAGACAAAGAGAGAGACGGAAATGGGAGACCACTTTTTTCGTATTCTAGAGATCATGACACGTCGAGAAAATATGAAAGTGGCAATTCCCCCGATGGACTCGATTACTGTATTTCCTTAACTGATGCTCGGGAAATAAAAAACTACACAAAAAATTTGAAAATCATGTCATGTCAAATCCGTTGTCAAATTTTGTTGTATGACATGAGAGTAAGAAAGAAGATGAGCTTCTGAATAACTTTGACACCATATGATTGAAAAAATAAGTACAACTTAGATATTCATTTTATAAGCGGTATTTCTAAATAGTATTCACAACTTCAGAACATTGTTTCAATTATTTTGTTTTTTCAATTAAAATTCATAAGGCAAATTTTCAGAATTGCTGTAAAATGGGTACACACTACGATAGATTTTTTTATGGATAATGCAGTTTCGGCTAAGTACATACTCGTATAGTATATTAAACTAAAACATTCAAAATTTTTGTATTAACAGTCGGAAGGCAAAAGGACGAAATTTATGAATTTCAAAATAGGAGGCAAAAATGTACGAAACTTGGCAAGTTTAAGCTTCACAATCAGAGGACACGATTGCTATAAATTTGAAAGGCCCTAGACCCCTAGAACCGGAATTCTGTCATCGATCTGGAAAATTTTGAGTTTGTGAAACACGATCACACTTCCGGTTTCGTCCAGGAGAAACTCCGCCTCCCAGGAAGACGTAGATTTTTTTGTGATATAGAGAAAGGTTAGGGCTACTGGAAAAATCAAAGTCCATGAAAATCGGTTTGAAAAATATGATTTTTTAAATTTGAAGTTTAGTAGCTCAAAATTTTTGCTGAATCGTTTTTTATGCAACAGTTGCAAAAACAGGAGAAATATCAACGTATTGATACCAAAACTGGTTCCTCAAGTCTAAATCTACTTCCATGATTTTTTTCATAATTTTTTGAAACATTTGAAAATTTTTCTTGTTGTAAGTTTCATATTGTGAAAAGTCTACACACAATAAAACAAAAAGACAAAATGTAAGCCCGCCCACCCGCCCTTTCTCATTTGTAAAGATTTTTTTTATTCGCCGTGAACCAAGGGGCGGAGCTTAACTGCAAATTACTTATTTCTTTACAAGCAATTAAAAACATGTTTTTGAGTATCGGTTGTTCAAAAAATACTATGTGTGTTAAGAAAAACAGGGGCAAAATATAAGCCCCGCCCACCCACCCTGTCTCAATTGTAATGATTTTTTTATCCTTAGAAACTTAGAACACGTTTAGAATGGTAAATTTTTGTTACGGAAATATGCATTTTGCAATTAGGCTCCGCCCCGACGACTGCCAACGAATGAAAACTTCATTACTATTTAGATCAGGGGACGTATGGGTGGGCATGGGGCTTAATCTTTGACTTTAATTTTTTTTAATATACATAGTATTCTTTGAATAACACGATACTCAAAAACCCATCACTGAAAAACATGTTTCACATAGTAATTCTTTTAGAAAAATACGGATTCTGCAATTAAGCTCCGCCCCTCTTGACTAACGACGAATTAAGAAAAAGCGCCACAATTGAGACAGGGTGGGTGGGTGGGGCTTATGTTTTGCATTTTTTTTCTTCTTAATATATTATTTTTTTTGCATAACAAGAAACTGAAAACATGTTTAAAATGGTAATTGCAAAATCGATATTTGCTTATGCAAATTTTCCATTTTAAACATGTTTTAAGTTTCATATTGTGAAAAGACGTCTACACATATATTAAAACAAAAAGACAAAATGTAAGCCCGCCCACCCGCCCTTACTCAATTGTGATAATTTTTTTTATTCGCCGTGAACCAAGGGGGGGGGGCGGAACTTAAATCCAAATTGCTTATAATCTCTTTACAAGAAATTAAAAACTTGTTTTTGAGTATCTGGTTTTTCAAGGAATACTATGTGCGTTAAGAAAAAAAGCCACTAATGAGTCAAACTAGCTGTTATATAATTTGCTTCGTACTATGTACCTAAAGAATAAGATGGATTAAAGAATAAACAAATATAATATTAATAAAAAATCAAGGTAAATTCATAAACCACAAGTACAGGAATATATTATTTCATAAAATTTAAATAATCTTAATTATGTAATACAATGAGAGGAGGTCACACAATTGTTGGTGGAGATGATTAGTCAGATTTTGGTTAACGTTTTACGATTTACATGATTTTCCTAATATACATACAAAATTTGACAATACAACACAGACAGACGACCTACAGACGGAAACGGGAGTCTACTTTAACTTTTTGAAACATAAATATTACCTTTATTACCTGCAGCTTAGTTTTTACCAAGAAAACTTGTTTTCCTACTTGGAGATTATTAATTAATTTTCGCATGAATTATTTTATCAGATTTAACACTCGAATTTACCTGAATATCCTTACAATAAATTTTTGCGAAACTGAAAGCTTAGGAGAGTTTCTTGGTAAAGTGGTGTAAGGTCACATAACGGATCTTAGTTTCCAGAAAACACTAGAAATGAACTTTCATTGAAACAAATAATAAGACAGTGTAATTTTATTCACAATGTAAAGTGGAAATTTTTGCCAGTTTTTCCTGTGCCTAAAATCTTTGCCATTAATTCAGAGCAAACTGACGCAGCTTTACCTCACTCGACGATAGAAACAACAAGAGGGTGCAGGAAAGAGGTGGAGCTTGTTTTTGACGAAAGCTCATCATTCAGGAAAATTTCGTTATTAATTATAAATATAATTGTTCCTCTCACGCAACCTTAAAAATACGTAATAATACTTATTTTGAATAATCGACAACAATTATTAAAAAAATGCTCTTCAACATTTCCAGAAAAAATACAAACGAAAAGTCCTAAGAAATCCTTAATAAGTAGGTAGTTACTATAATTGATACTTTGATGAGAGAAGTAAATACAATTACATAAATTGGTTCATACATTTTTTAACTTTTGAGCAAGCGAGCTATAATTTTATCGAAAACTGGTTTTCATTCACATTCGACAGAACATTGTTAAAGTTCAGTACATTCAAACCAATTTAGTTAATCCAGTTTGTTAAATTTAGTGACAGTTTTCACAAGCTTTTAGCATTTAACTAACACAAACATGCAAAAGTTTGACTGGACTTCAACCACTGCTATAAACTTTTTGGTACTAAAAGCAGTAGGACTTTGGCCGGAAGAAGAATCATACAAACCCAGTCTATACACACTGTATGCCACATTTAACGCCATTGTGTTGATAGCCCTGCCCAATTTTTCTCAAATCATCAACATTTATTACGTCTATTCAGATTTAACAGCCTTAACAGCTACATGCTTTATTTTAACTTCGAATATGCTAGCAGTTGCAAAAATGTGCTCCTTTGCACGTCACGTCGGAGATCTGAAAAAGTTGCTGAAGATGTTAACAAGTGACCAGATGAAACCAAAAACCAACACACAAATAAAAATAATTCAGCCATTAATGAAGCGGTGGAAAAAATCTTACATTGTTTATATCTGCTACGTGTCGTTTAATATGTCTCTGTGGGTATTTGGACCACTTTCCAGCGGAGGACATCAGTTGATAATGCCTGCTTGGTACCCGTTTACGTTGGAAAAGTCACCAAATTACGAGCTTGCTTACATTTATCAAGCTCTATGTTTTGTGTATTTAACAACTGCGAATATAAATGTAGACACTAGTACTTACGCACTATTTACGTATATTTGTACACAGTGTGAAATTTTGTGCGACGATTTGTGTAATCTTAAGGGGAATGAAGAGGAATTTAACCAAAAATTGGTGAATTGTGTCAAACATCACGAAATAATCCTAAGGTGGAAAAAAATTGTAATTAAGTTCTTAAAATGACAAGAAATTTTTAGTTTTGCCAAGAAGACTAATGGTTTGTTCAATATGGTCATATTGGGTCAATTTGCCACTAGTACAATGGCTTTGGCACTAACCATGTTTCAGCTGAGTTTGGTAAAAGATACTTATTTTTTTTTATTAATATTGTTATGATTATTTCTTGAAGGTTGAGAGTTTGGATGCAGCAGCAATTGTAAGCATGTTCTATATTGTGGGTCTTGCAATGCAGCTTTTCCTCTATTGTTGGTTTGGCAACGAAGTTGAAACTAAGGTGTGCAGGCTACAATAAAAATTTTTTCTTTTTTAATTGTTCTTATTTTAGAGCAGCAAGATTCCATATGCTATATATAGTTCTCAGTGGCTTGATATTTCAGTTGATGTCAAAAGAAATCTGTTGATCTTAAATGGACGCTGCCAGCAACCGATTAAAATAACAGCAATCAACTTGTTCGATCTTTCTTTGAAAACTTTCGTAACAGTAAGTACTTTAGGTTTTCTGTTTTAAGGTGACGTTTTATTACTTGTAGATTCTTCGTTCTGCTTGGTCCTACTTTGCTGTTCTGCACAGCGTAAATGGTCAGTAGTTTAGATTTTTTCTCCTAAGATTATACGTGACATATTTTGATTTTCTGCTTCTGAAAATAAAAAAAGTGCAATTTTAGTTCTGTTGATTTTTCTTTAAACCAAGTTTTTGTGTCTAAGTAATAATCAAGTGTAGTTTTAAATTCTGTGTCAAATAATTTTTTGAATTTGTGCTTTAAAAAACACCTATTTTTAATTTTTCGTTCATTAAAACGCAACTTACTAGGAAACATTTTTAGATGACGTCATCACATTGTTAGTGGGGATGATTAGGCAAATTTTGGTTAGCGTTTTTATATATGCATGCTATTCCTAACATACACATACAATTTGGCAACGGTCGATCTGATAATTTTGTCTAATAAAAATTGACCCATACAACAGACAGACCGGCGGAAACCGAAGACCTATTTTTGATGATTCCAAAGATTCTAAAGATCATAAAGATTCTAAATGTTCCAAAAATTTCAAAAATTCTGGATATTCCGAGACTAGAGATTCCAGCGACTTTAAGATTCTGAAGATTTCTAAGATTTTGAAGACTCTGAAGGTTGTGAGGATTCTCGAGATTTTGAAGTTTCCGAATATTTCGAAAACTGAAGATTCCACAAAACTTGAAAACTTAATATTTCAAAAATTTCAACGGTTCCAGAAATTCAAAAAATTCGGGATATTTCGAAACTTTAAAAATCCCAGAGACTATGAAGATTCGAAAGATTCTGGGGATTCTGAAGATTATGAATGAAGATACTGAAGATTCTAAAGATTCCGAATATTCCGAAGATTCTGAAAATTATAAAGATTCCAAAATTTCTAGAGATTCTAGAAGTTCCAGAATTTCCGGGATTTTAGGGATTATAAAGTTTCTGAAGATTCTAGACATTCCGGAGACTGAAGATTTTAAAAAATTTGAAAACTTTGAGGTTACGAAGATTCTGAATATAACGATTCCAAAGGTTCGGAAAAACTTGGAACATCCTGGAGATTCTGAAGGTTCTGAATATTTCAAAAAACTGACAATTCTGCTATTTCCAAAAAATCAAACACACTTTGAAGTTCCGAAGATTCTACATGAGTGGTTCCAAGTCGGTGCCACTTCTTTATTTTTTTGCGGATATATATTTGGATACCAAGGGCAAAAATTCAAGGCGGATTCATAAACCACAAGTACAGGAGTAAATAGTCATTACTAGACATACACAATTTGACAACAATCGGTTATTTCGGAGATTGCGTTATCGATACAGACAAACTAGAGACGCACAACAGTCAATTTTGAAAATTACTCAAAATCATTCATATCTTATAAAATGCTAGCCCCGCCCACCCTCCCTCTATTTTCTTGGAAGGTATGTCATTTGCCAAAATCAATTTTATCTTAGCAAGTACAAGTCCCGCCCATTCCCACTCTTCCAATTCTAAGGACTAATTTTATTTCTGTCTAGTATAAGATCATTCATTTCATTCAGGGCAGATACCAATGACAGAAATGGAGACGGGGTGGGTGAGCGGGGCTAATTATGTTCTTCTGTGGAAAGAGAATGAAAACTTATAGAATCTGAGATGTGAAAAGGGAAAAAAAGGCTCCCCGCCCACCCGCCCTCATCTTTTTTGGAGGAAATTTCATTTGCCAAAATCAGTTTTATCATAGCAATTATTAATCCCGCCAATCCCCAGTCTTCCAATTATAAGGACTCATTTTGTTTCTGTTTAGTCAAATCATTCATTTCATTCAGGGCAGACATCAATCACTGAAATGGAGATAGGGTGGGTGGGCGGGGTTAATTATGTTCTTCTATGGAAAGAGTGAAAAATAGTAGAATCTAGGATGTGAAAAGGGACAAAAAAGGGTGCTAGTCGCAACATTTTTGTTATACTATTTGCTACCAAATTTATTTCTTTTTTCGTGCAGTTGACATGACTTAAGTGAAATTTAAAACAAAAATGTTAAAAATTGCCATATTTCAATTGGCAATACTGATGGAAACACGGTAAGAATTTCCAAAAAAAAAACAGGCCGGAAATTAATTCTGGATGTCGAAATCTTCAAGAAAATCTCTAGCACAATTTCGAAAATGTGTCAAAATCAGTCATATCTTATAAAATGCTAGCCCCGCCCACCGGCCCGCTGTTTTCTTGGAATATATGTGATTTGCTAGAAACAGTCTTATCTTAGCAAATACTAGCCAGAGAGAACGGGTGACCTATTTTTTCCTAATCTAACGGTCATGAAACGTCAAGAAAACATTGAAGTAGCCAGTCGTCCGATGAACCCTACTACTACTCTCTACTTTGGGTTCTTATAGGACCACAACAGTAAGCAAATATGCAAAAGCATATCGTAAGAAACACGTACGGATTATAGTAGAGTTGCAGAGTATTTTATTTTTCTAATGTTGGCACTAGCGAGGCGCCAAGGTTCAAACTCGGCATTTTTTTTTTATAAATTTGATGTGATTTTATGGGGAGCAAATTGCTCATTGTATTATTTGTAGCTAAAGCCCGTACTTCTGGAGATCTACACTGTAAATCTTGGGAACTGCTGCAAAATTACCTAGATTTCGAAATTTTAGTGTTTTGTTTAAAATGGCGCAAAGTAGAGAAAATACCGTATGATCGCTCAATTATAAGACATTTTGTGATTTTAAGAAGACATAAGAATTTACATTTGTATTTGTAATCCAGCTCCAATAGTAAAGTAAAAATATAGAAAATATTAATAACATAAAAATGAATCAAGGCATTAGTTTTCTAACCATTAGGAGCGGGAGGATCGTTGTCCTCGTGTCGATTATCCTCTTTTATTACTGTATTCGTTCCAGGAGTCACTTACTTTCTTAACTTATTTAAAAAATTCTTTAAACACAATCTCGAGAGGTTTACACAAGCCATACTCAATTTCCTTGGCTTTTTTTGAGATAAATTAATAAGGCATAAAATTCGCAAAACTCGAAATCAGCCGTTTGACACAAACTAGTAAGTTCTTTTACGACTCTTTGTATTCATATTTTGTCTTAAACTATCTTGAATTTTAAATTTTTAGTTCATTGTTGGCACCAAATGCATTATTTCTCTTAGATTGTTAAAGAAAATTTAACTTGATCATCAAAATACCTAACAAAAATAGTGAAATTGTTTATGACATAGAGCAAAATTTTGAATAAAAGTTATTAATTGTGGCAACCACAATTTAGTTGAGTCAGTTTTTGGATTGAAGTGCTAAATATTTCTCAATTGGCTCTTTTAGTAAATGTTAACTTTCTGAGTTCATTATATCTAGAAATTTTATTAGCAGTGTTAGTGATGTGGTATTTTAATAAAAGCCAGACATTTTACTAAATTTTGTTGCCTGCTAAGTATTTATGTACGAGTGTTTAGAAAAAATTGTCACTCAAAATTAACATAAAGCATTTTATTCAAGTTCAGTTCACTTCTGTAACTTGTAAAATTAAAATACATTTATTATGGCACACAGAACACTTCATAAAACTGTTTGTAATCACAAATTACAAGTCTTAAACAAGATAAGAACTGCTATTGTGCTGCTATATTTCTTTAAAATTTTGAAGACAAGTGTATACGAATTTTTAAATATATAATTAATGCAAAAAAACAAAGTTAAAAAAAATAAGAAATAAACTTACAGAAATGTTACAATATGTAAAAGCTTTTCATAGCTGACAAAAAACCCAGAATTCACAGAAACCATGTACTTACTAGGTATATAACAAATATAAACAGTGTATTGAACTCATTGACTCGGTGCACAAAAAGGGTTATTATTATCGACGTAAATCCATTAGAATAAATTTTCGTCATTAAATAATAATAACAATTATTCTCTCACGCAAACTGTACTGCATCCAGACATCAGAATAAAAAAAGATAATAAGCAGTTCTTATTAATTACCGTCACATTTCTAGACAAATAAAAAAAAATAATCGCTTTTCTTAGTAAATTTGTTAGGAAGAAAAATGAAGAGTAGCTTTCATAATACATAATGAGCAGGTATTATCCACTCTTTAATTAGACAGAGCTATAATTGATACCTTCCAAGGAATAACTAGCCACAGTTTTGTAATATCCTTAATAAATATTTAAGCTTTTGAACACAGACTGTAATTTTGTTGAAAAATATTTTTCATTCATTTCAGAATTTAGTTTATTGGTAAAAGTTGCTGAAGACAGTCACCTTTAATTCTGAATTATAAAAATAAAGTAAAAGTGGAAAGTTTGTCAGTGCTTTTATAAATAATGCCAAAATTCGACTGGACGTCCACAGCATCAATAAATTTTTCTGTTTTGCGAGGTGTGGGCTTGTGGCCACATGGTGACGGCTCATACCAGATAAATCTCTACACAGTTTATGCCCTATTTAACGCTATAGTGTTAATCGGCCTTCACAATTTTTCACAAGTAATGAATATCTTTTACGTGTATTCGGACCTCACAGCCTTAACAGCTACATGCTTCATTTTAACTACAAATATGCTAGCTGTGGCAAAAATGTGTTTTTTCGCCAGAAATGTCAACGATATGAAGGATCTTCTAAAAACTCTAAATGGTGAACAATTCCAGCCAAAATCACCACATCAAATACAGCTAGTTCAGCCACTACTCAGACGATGGAAAACTTCATACATTGTTTATTCTTGCTACGTATCATTCAACATGTCTTTGTGGGTGTTCGGACCACTATCGAACGAAGGACACCAGTTAATAATGCCAGCTTGGTATCCCTTCGACATACAAAAATCACCAAATTACGAACTTACATACATATACCAAGCCATTTGCTTTACTTATCTGACGACGGCAAATGTAAACGTAGACACAATCACTTATGCCCTTTTTATGTATATCTGCACCCAGTGTGATATTTTGTGTGACGATTTGAGCAATCTTAGTGGGAAACAAGAAGATTTTAATGAAAAATTTATAAAGTGTGTGCAGCATCACAAAACAATTCTAAGGTACTTAAATTTTTCCTTTTCGTTGTCGATTACTAAGACAGATGTTCCAGTTTTGCCAAAAAAACTAACAGTTTGTTCAACATGATAATCCTTGGTCAGTTTGCTACAAGTACTATGGCGCTAGCCCTAACTATGTTTCAATTAAGCTTGGTGAGTATACAAAAATTGTATCTAAATGTTGACTATATGTTTGCGCTAGGTTGATACTTTTGATGCGGCAGCTGTAGTAGGAGTGTTTTATATAGTTGGACTTTCGATGCAACTTTTCCTGTATTGTTGGTTCGGAAATGAAGTGGAAACAAAGGTAGAGGCTTCCAGAATTTAGTTTTGTTCTAAGTTTGTGTATTTTAGAGTAGTCACATTCCATATGCTGTCTATAGTTCACAATGGGTTGACGTTTCGTTAAAAGTCAAAAACAACCTATTAATTTTGGGTGGACGCTGTCAACGGCCACTGAAAATTACAGCCATCAATTTATTCGATCTGTCTTTAAATACTTTCGTTACTGTAAGTAAACTAGTTTTGTTCGTCTTTAGTAAAATAGTAGTGTTTCATATTTGTAGATACTTCGTTCTGCTTGGTCTTACTTTGCGGTGCTGCACAGTGTTAATACTCAATAGATTAGTTTTCATCAACACTAAAATCGTGAGTTAATTTTCACTCAAGAGTTCCGTTCTGTGAATTTGAAGAACATTTTATAATAAATTTAAATACTTATTTAAAATCTATTGTTGACTATTCACAATCTACATAATATATATAAAGCATCCTGGCATAATATTTTGTGTTCTAAATAGATAAAACGTGATGTTACATTTTGAAGTTAAATAACTTATTTATTTTAAATAAGCAAAAATTGCCATTAAAATTACTGAATGTCAATACATAAGTTATTACTTTGGTGTTGCAGTAAATTTAAATGAAACAGACGAACAAAAAAAAATTGAATGAAAAATAGATTACGTAGCGGCGCGAAGGGCGTCTCCTATTTGCCCTAACCATAACTACAACACGCTCTATAGATTTTAAACACTCGCGTTTGTGAGACTTCATTTCATCCTTACAAAGCACGCAGCCAGCTAGACAGCCTGATTCAGCAGGGCTGAAAATCCGTTATCTCAGATGAACATTTACATGGAAACGACAAGAAAGGACAAACTTTCAATATAAGTGTGAGAAAACAAGCAACATTGAATTATGACACACTCTGTCAAGAATTTACATGATGATAAATTGTTCATCGATTCAAGTTAACGATTAAAAAAAATGTGCTCACTACATCGTCGTGCACCGAAAGGAAACCCCACATTACATTAAACAAAATACGAATGAACAGAAACAAAACAGTCAAAGTCAGCACAAATTAAACCCTACATCTCCCGGTCCACGGTGTTATTAATTTGACTGATAAAAATTTTCGAGGTCGTTTCCCTCAAAATGAATTAACGTTTAAGATTAATGTCATAAATGAAGTATTATAAAATCTTGGGTAAGTAGTTTATAAGGTATGAATAATGTAATAACTTAAGTAAAAACGTTCAGAACTTTACAACAGAACATTAGAAAAAACTGGTCGAAAGTTATTTCGACAGAACTTCCCTTTTAAAATAGGCATTTGGGTCCTCCGAGAAGGTTTCACATTAAAAAAAAAGATATTTGGGACCCCTAAGAGGGCATATTGTTGCCTTTTTGAGAAAGTGGAGTAATTTCATCAACGAAAAATTTGTTATGACGTCATAGACATAGATAATACACAACGCGAGAGAAAAAGAGAAAAAAAAAAGAAAAAACCCGAACGTTCAAGTTTGGATTCGAACGCGCGACGTCCAGTCCGCAGTCCTGACTCGTAACCACCCATAACCACCAGACCACGCTCGGGATGCCCTAAGTTAATGGTAAACTGTTACTATATCGTGCATTATGTTTTTGCAAAAATTTGGACGGGAAAAACTCAAAGCGGATTCGTGCACCACACTTACGGGAGAATATTGTTGTATAACAGTTAAATCAAATAAAACAGAATTCTCTGAAATGACTGTTGGAGCGACACCTAGTGTCGGCCGTGCGAGGCTCGCTCGTGTAGTCGCCTTCACGAGATGGCTATATTGCGCAGAGCGACACAGCGCCACTTGAAGACGCCATATTTTTAGACACTTCTGGTACGACCGTCCGCGTGGCTACCAGCGCGACTATGTTACGCTCGTCGAATATTCTCTTGGAATGTGCCATAATGTAATATACGTTAGTAACCGATTCCGTGGTGTTTTCATTTCCGCCAACAGGTTATGGGCCCAGAGCGCGAATAAACGGAATCGCGTATATTCGAAGGTACTGAAGTGTGTGCACGTGTTGTGTTAAAGTACGCCGTCAAGATGAACGCCGGAAATTCGTCGCGCATCGAGTTGCTGCGGAAGGACAACTTCGATACGTGGAAATTACAAATGCAGGCGGTGCTGATCAAAGGCGACCTGTGGGAGTACGTGAGCGGTACTTGCGTCAAGCCTGAGGCAACAGCGACGAACGCGGCGGCCATTGCTGAATGGGTCAAGAACGACAGCAAGGGGAGGTCGGATATTGTGCTCTCGATCAGTCCGACAGAACTGAAGCAAATAAAGAATTGCGACACGTCCAGAAGCATGTGGCTACGCCTGGAGGAGATCTACCAGTAGAAGGGGCCTGCGAGAAAAGCGACACTCTTGAAACGCTTGATCTTATGCAAAATGGACGATGGGGGCGACGTGCGCGAGCATCTGCGCGAGTTCTTCGACTCCGTGGATAAACTGAACGACATGGACGTCGACATCAATCCGGATCTCCTGGCCATCTTACTAATTTACAGCCTACCCGCGAGTTTCGAGGTTTTTAGATGTGCGATCGAATCGCGAGATGATTTACCGTCGCCGGAAGCGCTGCGCATTAAGGTCGTGGAAGAGAGCGACGCGCGCAAGAACTGCGCACGCGGCGGAAGCGGCACGTCCGGCGCCATGGTCGCCAACAAAAATGGCGGTTGGCGGGATAACAAAAATGGCGGCTGGCGGGAAAACAAGGAGAGAGCGGAAGCTGGCGGAAGTCCCAACGGAAGACGGAACAACGGGGGCTCCAAACTTCGCTGCTTCAAATGCGGGCGACTAGGGCACAAGGCATCAGAGTGCCGGAGCAAGGAAAGGAGCGCGAAACACGCAAGGAACGTATGTTTGCGAATGAGTGAGCGCGAAGAAACCGCCAACTCAAGCTCGGACTGGTGCCTGGACAGTGGGGCCTCAGCGCATTTGTGCAATGATGGGGGCCAATTCACGAAGATCGATAGATCGAAAACAGGTATTTTGAACCTCGCGAACGAATCGTCTACCGCGACATTGGGTGTTGGTACGGTGCAGTTCGCGGCTCGCGTTTTAGGCGAAACAGCAAACATTTCGTTGAGTGAGACTCTGCATGTGCCCGATCTGAGGACCAATCTAATGTCCGTGAGCAAAATCACGGACCGCGGACTCGAGGTTAATTTTCGGCGCGACGAAGCGGTGGTAGTGGATCCAGACGGCAACGTGCTGTTGTGTGCGGAACGAATAGGAGACCTATATATACTACGTGAGCGGACACAAGCATGATGCGCGCTCGGCTTGTGGTGAGGACAAAATTCCGCTCGGACTGTTGCACAAGCGATCGGGACACGCGAACGCGAGGGACCTCGTCGAGGCCATACGAAATAATCGAGTGAGCGGCGTCCAGCTAAAGGATTGTGCGGAGGCGGTTAAGTGCGACATCTGCATCCAGGGGAAGTTGTCCAGGTCCCCCTTCCCAAAGTGCTCTAACCGGCGCACAGAGCAGCTACTGGACCTGGTGCACACCGACGTCTGCGGGCCGATGAGGACGCCATCTCTCGGAGGCGCGAAGTACTTCGTAGAGTTCATCGACGACAAGTCCAGATGGTGCGAGACTCGATTCCTGAAATCGAAAGACGAGGTGTTCCAGGCCACGACGGAGTACTTGGCTCTCGTCGAGAACCAGACGGGGAAAACCGTCAAGTGCTTACAGTCGGACAACGGCGGCGAGTACACAAGCCGCGACTTCGACCGGTACCTCAAGGCGCGAGGAATTACGAGGAGGCTGACGGCGCCGTACAATCCGGAGCAAAACGGCACCGCAGAACGGAAGAACCGCACGCTCCTAGACACGGCCAGGTGTCTCTTGATTGACGCCGGGTTACCGGACTCGTTCTGGGCGGAGGCGGTTAACACTGCCAATTACCTGCGAAATCGCCTGCCCACCAGATGCCTGGGTGGTGGAACCCCGTACGAGGCATGGACCGGTAAGAAACCCGACATCTCCAATTTCAGAGCTTTCGGCAGCAGGGTATACTACCTAGACAGGCGACCGGGGAAAGGGAAGTTCGACCCGCGAGGAGAAGAAGGCGTTTTCTTGGGTTATGCCGACGAATCCAAGGCATACCGAATCTGGTCACCAGAAAAAAGGACCGTACTGATAAGCCGCGACGTCGTGTTCGTAGAGGACGACAAGGAACGGCGTCACGTCGACAATCCTGCTCAGACCCAACAGAGCAGAGAGACTTCGCCGGAGGTTCGGCGTTCGGTCGAGATCGTGCACCCTCCTCCAGCTGGTGGAGCGCCGCCGGCGACGGTCAACGACCCGCGGAACGTCATCGAGGTCGAGGTCGAGGTCCATCGCCCCGCCGACGTCCCAGACGGCGTCTACGCCGACGGTGAATCGAACGATAGGTCGGAGCGGGACGTGACGACTGCTGAAGAAGATGACGAGCGCGACATCATCGACGATGACAACAATGCGGATCGTGCGAGGGCTCCAGGTCGCCCGAGAATTGTAAGAACAGGTCGACGTGGCCGACCCAGGAAGCAATTTCGGACGGTGCCGAATCCCGGTGCCAACATCGTCGATGCCATCGAACAAAGCTTCGTATCCGAGGTTGCAATGAAAAAGGCGCTGAGCGGTCCCGATGCAGACGAATGGCGACGGGCCATAGTGGCTGAGCTAACGTCCATCATCAAGAACGACACTTTCGCTTTGGTGGAGCGTCCACAGCGAGACAAGGTGGTGGGGAGTCGCATCGTCCTCAGAAACAAGTACAAATCGGACGGAACCTTTGAGAGAAGGAAGGCTAGATTAGTCGCCCAGGGCTTCAGCCAACAACCAGGTATACACTTTACCGAGACATTTGCTCCTGTTGCTCGTTTTAGCTCCATTAGGCTGATGGCTTCCCTTGCCGCCCGCCACGACATGGCAATTAAGCAGTTTGATGTCGAAACTGCGTATCTGAACGGCGAGCTGAACGAGGAAGTATTCATGGAACCGCCGAAGGAGCTTCAGAGGGCCCTTGGCAGCATCATCGACAACGAGACCGACAGCTCGATTGTAGCGAAGGCCACCAGTCTGCTCCAGGAGTTGCGCAAAGGCGATAGAGTTTGTTTGCTCAAGAAATCGCTCTACGGCCTACGACAGGCCGGTAGGAACTGGTACACAAAGTTGGACTCGACTCTGAAAGAGCTCGGCGCAATCCCGACGGCCTCAGACCCGTGTTTGTTTCGCCTAAAATCAGGGCGGGACGTGGTGTTAATCGCGATCTATGTGGACGACATATTGATCGCGTCCCGCAACCGAAAGAAGATCGCCGAAATAGGAAGAGAGTTGGCCCAACGATTCGAAATTAAGGCCCTGGGGGATGTAAAGCACTGTTTGGGCGTGGAGTTTCAGAGAGAGGACGGCCGGGTAACGATGCATCAGCGAGGGTACATAAAGGACGTACTTTCGCGATTCGGCATGTCTGACTGCAAGCCGGTCGCAACGCCGATCGATCTAGGAACGAAGCTAGAGAAAAACATCGACCAGAGTCAAGAGGATCTCGCGCTCCCGTACCGCGAGCTCGTGGGGGCGCTCATTTACTTATCATCGACTACGAGGCCCGACATCGCCTTCGCTGTGAGTCGTCTGGGGCAGTTTAACAACTGCTATGGCCCAGAGCACTGGAGGGCAGCCAAAAGAGTTCTGCGATACCTGAAGGGGACGATGAACGTGGGGCTCGCATTCGGAGCGGACGATGGGCCAATCAGGGCATTCGCCGACGCCGACTGGGGAGCGAGCACTGAGGACCGGAGATCGTACACCGGTTATGTATTCCTTTTGAACGGTGGGCCTTTGTCGTGGGAAGCGAAGAAGCAACGGACGGTTGCATTATCCACAACGGAGGCGGAGTACATGTCCCTGTCGGAGTGCGTCAAGGAGGGTCTGTACTTGCAGAGGTTTCTCCGGGAGCTGGGGTTTGACGACCTAGCTAACTTGGTCATTCATTGCGACAACCGAAGTTGCCTGCAGCTTGCTGAAAATCCCACCTTCCACGGGAGAAGCAAACACATAGACATCCGCCATCATTTCGTGCGCGCCGTTCTCAAGAACGGACAAGTCAGGGTTAGTTATGTGCCCACAGACGATCAAGTTGCGGACTTCTTAACTAAAGGACTGTCAAAGCCGAAGCATGCGAGGTGCGCGAAGTCGTGCGGACTTGACGTTGTTGATTAGTGGACATTTTTACACGACCGTCACCTCGAGGGGAAGTGTTGGAGCGACACCTAGTGTCGGCCGTGCGAGGCTCGCTCGTGTAGTCGCCTTCACGAGATGGCTATATTGCGCAGAGCGACACAGCGCCACTTGAAGACGCCATATTTTTAGACACTTCTGGTACGACCGTCCGCGTGGCTACCAGCGCGACTATGTTACGCTCGTCGAATATTCTCTTGTAATGTGCCATAATGTAATATACGTTAGTAACCGATTCCGTGGTGTTTTCATTTCCGCCAACAATGACGTCACCAAATTGTTGGTGAGGTTCCTCATCATCCTATTTTGGTTAGCATTTAACCATATACAGGGTATTTATAACATATATACAAAATTTGACAATAATCGGTCCAGCAGTTTTGAAGATTACGTGTCTAATAAAAATGGATACAGACACCAGACAGACAGACGGAAACGCGAGACTACTTTTTTACTCTAGGGGTCATGAAACGTCGGGAAAATATAAAAGTGGCCTTCATCCGATGGATTGGGGATGTAAAAATGATATAAGCTTGAAAAAGTAAATTTTCGCCAAGTGTTTTGTGTGACCATCACATTTTAGTTAAATTGTATCAGAATCAACTGTCAAATTATAAACACTAAAACAAAAGTTATTACACGTGTTGATGAAACAGCCAAAGTTTGGCATATTTCAGATGAGAAAATTGATAATTAACTTAGATTCTTAGACTAATTATGCTCGTTGTGGCGTCACATGTGATTCATTTTTGTTTAAACAATTGTTCTTTTATACAATGACAACCAAAATTGTACATACAGTGTGTTTACACTCACAAAAAACAACAAATAGTGCACTATCAACCTAATAGGTGACATTCACTAATTCCCAAAGCTCAGAATAAGCATAGGGAATTATGCAGGAGACAAATATACATATATTGTGTGATTTGAAATTTTGGTAATATTTATAAGTTTATTCTAACAATAAATTTTACCGAAACGCGAAAAAAATTAGGGGCATTTTTTAAAATATATTTATGAAAGAATTTTCTGAAATGGCGTCATCAGTCTTCTGTCAGGGGTAAATCTACTGACGGAAACGGAAAACGAGCATTCTTGTATTCTAGTTATTCGAAACGTCAAGCAAACAGCAAAGTGGCTCTTCGTAAAAATGTAATATGAAACATTTTAAAAGCTATCCCTCTAGACATTTTTTGTATTCATCTAATTGACACCAAAGAGAAGATCTAAATTAAATTTAAAAAGGTCTGAATAACATTGTGTTCTAAAAAATTGGAAAGCCAGTAAATAAGTCGAAAAATTATTGAGTTGTGCTGACAGACGCCAGGGCTAAATTTTCATCCAACTCTTTTAACATTTTTAAAAATGGAGGCTACCTGAACAAAACATATATATTGAAATAATTTTTAGCCAATGGACATCTAATCTACATTTTTTTTTTTGTTTAACTTTTCAATGTTTATGTTTGTTACACATTAAACTGTGTAGAGTGATTGTAAAATATCATACATCAAGATGGCTCTGGAAAATTTGTGACTACTTTTCTAATAAGAATTTGCCGTTTCTACGTAGTAGGTAGCCATCTATCATTCATAGTAAATTATTGGTTGTCTACGCACCAGGGAGCAAACCTCAGTTTTTTTTTAATGTGTTAAATTTTATTTTCCAGTAAGTTCACTTCAATATTTTGGTAAACCGGCTTTAGTTTTTTTAAAACTCATATTTGTTGTAGTTTTAGAATTAATACACCAAAAAATATCTACATTAATTATATTTTGTTTGCGATTGCTGTATTCATTATTTTTATCTTTCTTCCATTGTTCTTATAATTTTACGTTCTTTTGTACATCTCCTGCAGAATATATCTACAAAAAAAAAAAATTATTCGCAATCATTGTTACTAAAATGATTAATAAAAACTTTCTGTACTTTGCTCCAATTGACCAGATTTTCTAAGTATAGTCCGAAGAAATCTCTGGAAATGTGTTCACCTTTGCGTTATCCATAATTACTCAAATTTTGTTTGATCTTATGTTAAAACGAATGCTTGCATGTGTTGCACTGCTGAGATCACCTACGTTCTAAACGATTACATTCCTTACACTGAAAATAGGTGCGCAAAAAGGGAGGTTGCCTTTATTGACGTAAATTCATTACTGAGTAAACTTTGGTCATTAATTATCGACAATTTTGCCCTCACGCAAAGCTCATCATAAATTAGAATAAAAATTATCTAATGGGTGGTTTCGGTAAGTTAATGTCACAGCTCAACGATTATTTGAAAAATTGTTTTCATCTGCTAAATTATTTACGAAAACTGTAGGACATCTTTCACAAAAATTACAATATAATAACTAGGTAGTTGAGCTTAAATTACACAGAGTATTAATTAGTAGGTCCAGCCAATATGGGAAACAACAAATTTACAAATTAGTAAATTAATATTTTAAATCTTGGGGTAGAAACTCTCATAAGTAAAGTCGCTCCACACAGTATCTCTTGTCGAGTGCAACTTCAACGAGCTGTTTGACCATTATTAAACAAAGATTTTAACATTACCATGGGCAAATTTGACTGGACCTCTGCTATCACTCCTAATTTATGGGTCCTACGTACCGTAGGAATTTGGCCCGGAAAAAATGAATCCGACGAATCCAAGTGGTACACACAAGTGGTATTTCATTTTCAACGCCACTTTGCTCATCGGTGTCCAGAACTGCTCCCAAATAATCAACATCTTTTTCGTGTATACAAATTTCTTGTGTTTAGCCAAAATCCTCATTTTTGCCAGAAATTTAAAATCCATTAACAAGATATTAAGAATTCTGGACAGCCAGGAAGCCCAACCAAAATCCACGGAACAAATTAAACTAATTCAGCCGTCATTGACACGTTGGAAGGTGCCATATTTTGTATTTATGAGCCACGTGACTTCAAATGTGGCACTATGGTTCCTGTCTGCACTTTTTAGCCATCAGTTGCCACTAGTATCGTGGTATCCCTTCAGCGTTGAAAAATCACCGAATTATGAAATTATTTTCATCTACCAAGTTTTTAGCTTCACTTACTTATCAGCTGCTAATATAAACGTGGATTCGTTTTTCTACGCTTTGTTAATGTTTATTTGGGCGCAATGTGATATTTTGTGTGACGATTTAAGTCATCTTGATGGGGATCCAGCACAGTTTAATCAAAAACTGATTAACTGTCTTAAACATCACGAGACAATATTGAGGTAAATTGTTAAAATTTTATTAAATTGTGTACTTGAAAAACTATGTATTTTAGGTTGGCTAAGAAAAGCAATAGTTTAATTGATAGGATAATTTTGGGGCAATTTGTCACTAGTACCATGACTCTGGCTTTAACCATGTTTCAGCTAAGTTTGGTAAGGTTTACAAACTGCGTTATTCTGTCATAAATCTGTCTTTTCAGATTCAATCTGTAAATAAAGAAGCGTTAGTAAGTCTGCTCTACATCCTGGGTATTATGTTGCAATTGTTTCTCTATTGTTGGTTTGGCACTGAAGTGGAAACTAAGGTAAAATATCTGCAACTTTTTTAAAGAATAAACTTATTTTGGTTTTTACTTTTCATTTTAGAGTAGTAAAATTCCATATGCTACCTTTATGTCGCAATGGTATGAGCAACCGCTCCACATCAAGAAAAATCTTTTGATTTTGAGCGAACGATGTCAAAGACCTATCCAGATAACGGCCATCAATTTGTTTGCGCTTTCGCTTAAGACCTTTGTCAATGTGAGTATTTAGTTTGGTGAAATTCTGTTAGTTGTTATATTTTTTTGCAGATTATTCGCACTGCTTGGTCTTATTTTGCCGTTTTATACAATGTTCATCAGTAGTAAGTGTTTACTTTGTTTTAAAAATACAACTGATATATATTTTTCGAATTTAAAATTAAATACACGCATATATTTTTTTCACTAACTTAATATACCTATAGATGCTCAATGATGCATAATTTTTTTTAGTTTTTTTTTTTCAAGACGACGTTAGCTTTTAGTGATCCTAGTCTGGAAACACTTAATTCAAAAAATTGTAATTAAAAGTTTCCATTTGGCGTAAAGCGTTTGGACGGGTCCACTTGTCTATTTTTGTGGGAGAAAACTGTACTGAATGCACCATTATCAGTATTATCGCCCTTCGTCTTTTTATTTTGTGATTTCTTCTTCTCAGAACTACTGAGTCGCTCTTATTTTAGAATGCAAATGATACGCCACTGAGTATGTTCTGCTCTTAATATTTGTACTCTAACCATTGCTCTGTTTACTTAGCCTCTTTAGTAGGTAATATTCGTCTGTGCCTTTTTTGCTAAAGTCACACCAAACGATGTCCATTAGATTTTTCATTTTGTCTAGTCGCGTTTTTCAAAAAAAAAAAAATTTTGCCTAAGAAGTAGTACTTTTGACATTCTTCAAATGATGTTTCTTGACGGTGTAACATTTTCACTTTTCGTTGGTTTATTTTATTTAAATTCTCTTTCATTGTTTTTTCTACGATCATGGTTTGCGGTATGATGTCAACGAATACAAATCGCCAGTTCAGGAATAAATAGTTCTACTTAAGGTATTCAATAGAATGTTTGATAAGGTCGCCAACGCTTTATCTGACAATGAAACTGTCTGTTTGACAAGTTGATGTTCTTTTAGAATAGTAGATTCTAGAATTTCTTTGAATCCAAAACATCTTGCAGATTTTTTATCAAATGCTGTTTTTTGAATTTTCTTGAAATTTGATTCGTCAAACTATGAACCTGTTCTACACGCTAGACATTTTTTTATACATACAAATTTTAGATAGATTTATTAAATAATTTTCTCAAATCACGTGATCTGCTATAATAAATCTCTCGATAAAACCATTTTTGGAAATATTTTGTGGCATCAGATTTAGAAAATAAAAAAAAAATATTTCAATTTCCTTGAAACTTTTTAGCAATGGAGGGGTTCACGAAAAAGATATATATGTAGTTGAATTCTTTTAATTTTGGCAAGGTGTTGTAAAACGGTATGTTTCGGTTAATGTGTTCGTCCGACACACTGTTTTTACGCAGTTGTCACTGTTAAAGTGCCAAGAAATACGGTATCTTTTACCTGCGCAAATACAGTGTGTACAACACCTTGCCAAAATTAAAATAATTTTACTGTATGCTACTCAATGAATAGTATAAACTTCAGACTGTGATTGTCTTTATATTTGTAATAATTAATAAGATATCGAAGTCAGCGTCCTTAATGATTCACCATGTATATAGTAGAAAACATAAAATTAACATTTTTAATAAATAAACTAGTGATAGAAAACATTTTAATCTAGATATTTTCATCTTCATGTAAATAGCAGCAAAAATAATACATATAGTGATTAATTGATTAAGATGAAAAGGGAGAGAAAAAGACAGGTAGAGAGGGAAAGTATATTTTTAGTGTAGGTTCAAGTCAAATATAGTTGACGACATTATATTACTTAAATTATAAATGTATTTGTTTGACAACGTTCTATTACATTTTTGAATTGTTGTAATCAAGAAGAATTTTTTTTGAAAAAGCTTATTTACTTAAAATATGTCCTGTAAAGTTTGGCGAAAGATACAATGTGTTCACGATTTTGACTTCATTAGCGTTTTTAAATTACGTAAATAAACCATAATACCATAAAAATTAGTTTGTAACACGAATCATATTTCCGCAACGAGTTATTGACATAACGATGCATTATAAAATATGAAGAAAACTTATTTCAGTGCATATTTTTACCTTTTTTAAGGCATCTGTCACTTCATATATGCTTTATCTATAGGGCATAGTGATCTGCCCGTCTTTAGCCTTTATATGCATTAATTTTCTTTTCTTTGGTTCCTTCTTCACTTCTAATGATTTTAATTTATTTTAGTCTTCTTTTTCAAATTTATATATAATTTCATAAAACGAAATTACTAAAAACAATGGCTGCATATGAAAGAAACGGTTATTTGGTAGAAAACTGCCCTCTCAGGAAAAAGAGGGTGGGTGGGTGGGGCTAGTATCTGCTAAAATAAGACTGATTTTGGCAAATGACATACCTTCTAAGAAAAGAGAGGGCTGGTGGGTGGGGCTACTAACTGTAAAGGCTGATTTTGATAAATGACATATTCTCTAAGAAAACAGAGGGGGTGGGTGGTGCTAGTACCTGCTAAGATAAGACTGATTTCAGCAAATAAGGGAGTGAGTTGACGGTAGCTAGTACTTGCAAGTACTACCCAGCCCACCCGTCCTCTATTTTTTTAAAGAATATATCTTTTGCCAAAATCAGTTGTACGTTAGGAAGAAGTAGCCCCGCCCACCCGCCCTCTATTTTCTTAGAGGATATATCATTTGCCAAAATCAGTCTTATCTTAGGAAGTACTATACTTCCTAAGATAAGACTGATTTTGGCAAATGATATATCCTCTAAGAAAATAGAGGGCGGGTGGGTGGGGCTAGTACTTGCTAAGATAAGACTGATTTTGGCAAATGATATACTCTCCAAAAAAATAGAGGGCGGGTGGGCGGGGCTAGTAATTGTTAACATAACCCACAATTTTTTCAAACTCTTTCAAAATTATCAGGAGCTCAAAAATCTTTTCAAACTCTTTCACAAAACATCAGAAGCCAAAAGTGATATGTTTAGATTTTAGTTTACTAATAACAAAGTACGACAAATATCAATCAAATTCCAGTCTTATTATTCAGAGAAATGTAAAGTGCAATTCACAGATATCATATTTAAAGAGCTTGCGTTTCCTGTCAAATTCTGTGCTAAACTCGCTTGAAATTTTAACTCCCTACGGGGTTAAAATTTTCTTTGTGTTGGTATAATAATCCCAACAGGTCAGCTAAACAATTCGTACAGAAAAACAAAACAATACTTTTGCGTTAAAAGTAATTGCAAAAGTAATTGTAAATTAATTTAAGTTTATACAAATATTGCTTTATACATTTCTAGAGAGCGGATTTATAAGCACAAAAAAATTAAGAATAAGCGCTTAAATAAGCACAACATTTTCAATAAAAAAGTTTTATTTTAAGCAACAAAGCATTAAATAAGCATAACACTTTCATTAAAACATTTTATTTTAAGCAAAAAAGCATTAAAAACATAATCATATTACAAATCAAAGAACACTTCTTAGAACTTTGGACAAAATATTATTACGATAATCCTAGACTTTATCTTTTACACACGTATTTCAGTTTTCTTTAAAACAATTTATGATTGTAATATGTTCCAAGTTGTCCACTGTAAAATTTTTTCGCCGATCATTTAAAATGTGTTTAAAATTGGAGAATGTGCGTTCAACATCCACACTCGTTGTTGGCGCAAATTTGACTTTTGCAACTAATGTTGAATCTAACTCCAAATTTTCCACCTTCTGGCCTTGTAAAACACGAGCAACGTCGGAAAGAACACCGAAACCTGCATTTTTATTTAACACTTCGTCAAGTTTTTGAGATACTCTAGTACCAATAACACCCCTTACTGCGTTTGCTTGTTGTTTAAATTCTTTCACTAAGTTTATGGCATCTACCAACAACATGTTAGGTTTTTCTAACTTTTCTATTACCTCACATACGAATTGATAATTGCTTTATAGAAAAGCTAGATCTTGTCGCAAATTTCTGTTTTCCAAAATATTTATGCAATCTTTAATCGATTGAGAAGAATCTTCGCTAAACTCCGTAACTACTTCCTCAAATTCTTTGATATATTTGTCATAATAAAGTGTGGCCTGTAACCATGTTCCCCACCTCGTTATAATCGGCTCTGGGGGCAATGGTATGTTTGGAAATTTTTCCTTAAAATGTTGCACTCTTAGTGGGGCTTTAACAAAAATCTTTTTACCATTTGCCACTAATTTATTAATAGTAGGAAACTGCAAACGTATTTCTTCAGCCACTCTGTTTAAATCGTGGGCAATGCAAGTAGAGTGAATTAAATTGGGGTACAATATTTTTAGATTATTCCCTGCTTTCAACATATAACGAGCTGCATCCGAGATCATCATTAAAATTTTATTCGCCGGTACGGCATTTGGCAAAAATAGTGACGTAAGACAGTCATTTACAAATCTGGTAATCGTATTGCCATTTATTTTATCTAACATTTTCAAATTTACTGCATACCCTCGACTAGGGAAATTTTCATTTAAGATTCCAACAATTAAACTTGCCACGTATCTTCCACAACTATCGGTTGTTTCATCGACAGCGAACCATAAATAACACTAGTTTACAAGGTTTTATATCCAAAGACAAAAATAGTTGAATCTAAAGGATTTGGGTTCGGGAAATTCAAATCTGAAAGCAGAAAAAATCTATCACGTCAGGTTTCTGAGATATTTATATAAACATACCCCGTATTTATTTTCTTTTATACAACTCTTGTAACGTTTTTATTTTTAAATATATAAGAACGTATAGTTCTTTGAGCAAATTTGTATCATTTTAAAAGATTATTTACGTAAATAAATAACATGAATGTCAATTTTTCAAACTACTAGATTGTCATCAATGTTTTATTTAAAATTTTTCAAGTATTGATTTTAGAATAATTGGTCGCTTTTGATTTTTCTACGGGAAGTGATAATAAAAATGTGAGGTTGGCCTCACGAAGATCTTTTAAAATGATACAAATTTGCTCAAAGAAATACAGGTTTATCTTTAAGAATAAAGAAGTTACAGGGGTTGTATCAAATAAAAGCAACACCCAGTATATATTATAAACATTATGACTGAAAATTAAAAATGATAAACAGTAGAGTTTCTTTTATTGACAGTACTGACAGTTTCTTTTATAATAGACCAACAGTAACACATTTTCGTAC